TACAAACCTATAAACATCCTAAAAGTTATTTAATTATCATTTTTATTTATTATTTATTTTTAAAATTTACATCCATTGTTTTTGAGAGATTGTATTTCTCGTTGTTTTCGAAGATTAAATAACTTAGCGAAATGTAGACAATTAGAGACTTTTTTAGAGGATAACATTTCAGGACATTGACATGCTTCAAACTTGTGATAACATGTAAAGAAATGAGTCATCGAAAAAAAAAGAGCTTTGTAGGATTTGTATACAGTTCGATTTCTATAACTTTAACATCAGGAGATACAATTAACTTCATTTGTTTACAATACTTTCCCCCTGTTTATCTCTACCTGATTACTCTTAACGATATCCCCTACTTGACATATTTTTTTCAATACCATCTTTAATCCGTACCTGAACTCTCTTTGTATTAATAGGTGTGATTTATATTTGTACTGAACAATCCTATGAATGTAAAGAGTTTAGGAAGACAAGACTTTTGCTTTTGTGAAGCTGTTAGACACAAAATTACGTGAATTCAAATGTATCAGTGTTGATTCACTGCGGTCCAGTTGTAGTTTGATTTAGACCATGCAAGATATGTGTATAATTTGTAATAATTCCAAATGTGGTGTATAAACACTTCGGTAGGAGAAGAGAACTGAAAAAAGAGGGTATTTATTATTACAAATATGGTATTCATGCGACTAATGGAGAGGAAATTGACTTATTGTCAGTGTGTTGTTTCTCAATCCGGATTGGTTAGCCTATCCAACTGTCTGACCTTGTCTGACCACAAAAAGAGACAAGCACGATCCCAAAAGCTATTTCTCACTTTGTAATTGGTCATATCTCATTCGATACACGATGTGGAGTGATGGAACACAAGACCGTAGACTGGAACCGTTCTTTCTAGTATAGTCTTCTTAACCGTTGTATAAAGCTCTATATTTTTTTCAATAATAATTATATTAGTGGAAACACAACTGACCACGATTGGATATTTCAGATATACATTTGTTTAGATTAATATCCTTCAAATCTTTAGAAATATATGTGCGTTTCGGAAAACGATCTTTTCATATGATATACACATATATCAACCAAGACAACATAATGACAAGCGCGATCATCTTATTCAAAGTTTGTGTATGATATACACGTAATATACAATAACATTGAGAGTAATTTTTAAAATATTGTCAAGCAACATAGATTACAGGGAAAGAAATGTTATCTCCACCATTTTATTCAGTAAGTATGGCAATAGGAACAAACCGTGTTCTATAATCACTCTTCCAGTCTGTTGACCAAAGGGGAATAGTATCCGGCAAATTATGCGATTTACCTAACAAACGCAAACTCCGGGAAAGATACCCATGCACTTTAATTCCTTGTATGACTCTGGTGTATTTGTTCTAAATTTATGTTTTTAAATGTGGTGTGCACTTGTGTGGTCTCTCCTACAATTTGAAATTTTTCTCGCGTATGTATAATTGCAGAACGGTATCCCCTTCGTTATTCTATTGTCTTTTGTAATCCTTTTGATAGTTGGCTATAGACGCTGCTGAAGGACTTCCCCGAGGTCTGCGTTGTGACCTGTACGTGTATTTTTTCTTTCTTTTTCATTTGAACACCTGTTGACAAGAATTTACAGGACCAAAATGTCTCATGTATCAAATTTCTACGTGAATTTATGCTTCCTTTTGATGTCATTATTGCCCATTTTTCTATATCAATATAGGCTTTCGGTCGATACGTAAACATAATTATTGACCTTCAACCTAATTAAACATCACCATTGATCTTCAGTGACCATTATGCCATTATTCATGCGTGGCGAATAAATATTCTTATCTAGAGTAGGAATGTTAATTTGTGTCATTATTTACTTATCACGGAATTTATCAGCCGTTTTACACATGGATTAGCAATTATATGAAATATGCATAATATATTTCGACAGTTCATAAATCAATAATATTGTAAATGATATGTTACTGTTCACCAAAGTGAATAATTTGCTTGCCTTGCGATAAAATTGTGATGAATTGATAGTGAATGTAGACAGGGATTTTACAATGTACTTTCATGTTCATTTCATGTCATCCAATAAGTACCTTTGTATCTAAATTGCCTGTGAGTGTACCGTCTCCCTGTGGACACTGCTGGTGGGTTTCAGTCCCCGAGCTTAGCCGTATTCTGAATGCCATGTTCTTATTCATTCGAATAGTGGTCCGGTCAAGAATACAAACATACATTTAAAATTGAAAATTATCAGATTTATGAAGATTACGAAATCCATTGAGTTATGAGGCTAATGGACCTTCCCATCAACGTTTTGACTTTTCTATCGATCACTTTTCTCAGTCGCCTCCTAGGCTTCAAACTCAAGGCTTTTAGCATCACTGACGAGTCAAAGAAGGATGAAACAGATGAATGATGCAATTTAATAACTGTTTCGATATGCTGTATCTACTACCAAAGTTGTATTAGAAGGTGCTGATCATTTGTGCGTCTTTTTTACAATCTATAAGAGTTGTGCCTCCACACACTATGAAGTTGTCGTTCTTACTACTTACCAGCTAGAGGTAAAATAGGTTTTGAGATAACTATCTATAACTGTCGTACCTATTCCATCGACAATACTTTATTGTCTGTAGTTTTAGTACATGTATACAAAACATTATCTTCACGGACTGCTGGCACATTACATATAAATGTTTCCCTTGGGACGGAAACCATCAAATTCATTCTTTATATCCTGTGTATTTAACATGAGGTTCACTTCGATGAAAAAGTCTTTATGCGTAGTTGCATAGTTTGGCATGTGACAAGAAATAAATCATGAGTTTTACATATTCTGGTCGTGTCGTCTGTTGTAAAACTGTATTGAGCTGCCACATTCCTAATATTGCTGTAGACTTGTGGAATGGGCCCAGGTGGCGCAAACGTTATAGCTGGTATTCCAAAAGGCATGTTGTTGTCGCCGCACCGTAAGCATTCTTTGCAGCTAGACGGTAGAGAGCGATTTAGGAAAATGGGAGGGGGAATGGTGAATGGATGGAGTGAAATACAGGAGAGAGATACGATGTAAGAGATGGAAAGGCGATAATGTGCGACGACGTTTACCAAAGGAATGGTGCTCACAAAATCAAGATGTTAAATGTGGCACGTGAACGAACGTTTTGTAGGGGCTGAGAGAGGGGGGGGAGGGGTGGGGGAGAGAGAGAGAGAGAGAGAGAGAGAGAGAGAGAGAGAGAGAGAGAGAGAGAGAGAGAGAGAGAGAGAGAGAGAGAGATGGTTGGAATGTTAAAAGGTGGTGGCCGAGAAATAATACGTTGAAAAATCGACTGAGCGAAGACGACAAAGATATATTTAACCTTAACATATATTCATATTATATGTATATTCATAGACAAGCATAAAGGCTTTATTGTAACATACTGTTGCTTTCGACTAAAACTCTTTGTAATATTCTGGTCAAGTATGAGTAAAGGGTATTGGGAAAGCGCTTTATAGAAACCAATTAACTGATTGCACAATTAAATAATTGAAATAAACCTGAAATTCACTTTAAAAGGAATATCTACATCTAGCACGATGAAGTGTGATGAAAAGAAAATGTTTAAAATGAAATTGCCAAAAGAAGTTAAATGTAAAACGGAAGAATGAAAACGTACATAAAATTCAACCATAGCCAATTTGCTGAGGTGTAATTTGACATCAGAGTGACTGATATTTATTACGTGTGGAATATAGTTGCGTAATATTTCATCACAGATATTAATCGACTAGGTCGTGTTAATGTCATAATTACATAACATTACGTCGTAATACTGTCAATGTCAGTCAATCTGATACAAGGCCATACATTAATAAAACCTAGATGATTTATAGTAATATTAACATAAGACAAGTCTATCGCAAACCAACAATCTCATTGTTATACTGACAATGTGTGTCTATTTCCTAGTTATTTCCACCTAATTTTAGATACAACATATTGCATTTCATCAGAACTCCTTTATCCTCTCATTGGTTTAGCATTCACATTGTTTTCGTTGTATTTATGTTTTTTTGTATTATAGTTTGTTTGATAACCCCCATCACATTTTTTGGCGACATGCCAAAAACAGCTACCTATGCAATATATATCTATATATGTAAGATATATACATTGCTCTTAAGTAAGCGAAAACCGGATGGCATTCATATGGTATTAAATACGTTGATAATGATTAAAGCGTTACAACAAAGAGCAGCCAAGCAGTAATCCTGATTCAAAGATCTTATCATATCTTGTCTTAAACTAGTACCAAACTAAAACAGAATGAGAGAGAGTAGGAAAATTAAAAATTGATATGTCTGAAAGTTAGGATGTAGGTTTCATCAGCTTATACAGAGACTGATCGCAGAGGAACTTGTGGACACTGAATAAAACTATTTCCACAACATTGCTAATTAAATATCAGGGAATTGTTTTCGCTCTAAATTTAGTAAAAATGAAATAATCTGCCAGAAGATGAAATTTCAGCACCAGCATTTAATTTCCTTAAATCAGATTACGCAATAATTGGACAGAACAATAACTGTTTAACATTAACAAGAAGTCTACAGTACTTTGAGAATTGTTTGTGTTTCACAGTTGTATTAATTTATTGTTATTGTATAATTTGCGTCTATCGTAAATGATGATACTTTTTCCGGAGTTTCTTTTATTCAGATTTTGCCCAAAGTTTGATTGATTTTGGGTTTGTATCATGATCGTGTTGTCATTTTTATATTGCTTTATATACCAGTAATAATCTTTGCTTCCTTGAAATCAAATTCGTGTTCTAAACAATGTGTATCCATTTTCCACCTCAATTAATTTTCTTTTTCAGTGTGCAGAATTATTCTAGCGACAGAGTATTTTATCTGGTACTTATGCTCCTGAAACCGAGCAAAAGTAATAACATTTTTGACAGGTTTTGAAAGAGCTGAAATTGTACATTGACTGTCTTTCTTTACAGGGCTGAGATTTTTGAGAGCATTGCGGCTGATGTCCATACCTGATATCTTGACCTACTTAAATATTCTGACCACCAGTACAAGGATAAGACTGTCCCAATTGGTTGCCTTCTTCATCAGCATGTGGTTCGCATCTGCCGGCTTTTTACATCTGGTAGGCATTTCACACAATTAAAATGAAAAAGTTAAATACCAATGTGATGTCCTGTCAATCACAGAGACCATATATGATATCTATATAACGAAATAGCAAAACATAGTAATTAATCAATGGATATTTCAAATTGCTTACGTGTTATACACTGTAAAAGTTGTTTTTCGACAATTTTGCACAGTGATGCATTTCTCACTAGTGTAATATAACCGGGAGCCTTTTTTCATTAGCTACGTCAAATAGATTGTGCGGACAGTTAAGTTACGTCAAGATTTGAAAACGACACAACAAAGTGGATGACACTCCCTCTCCTTTAATTTTGTCCTTCACAGTTTCACTTTAAACCCAGTCAAAACTTTCTTTTCTTAGTTATGTTATGAAAAGTATCTTACCTTTGTAAATTTGACTTCGTTTCATATGAAAATCTAAGCCTCGTTTCGCAAAATCTCATATAAAATGAAAAAGTCATTTACGATGTTATATATATGAATCGATTAGGGAATAAATTACCAAAAATGTCCTGATATGACTGCCCTAAATCATATCAATTATTGGGAATGTTATAGTTATTAGTGAAAAGATATAAATGATATGAATATATATTGAAAAGATATAAATGATATGAATATATATTGAAAAGATGATTTATGTTCTCAAAGAATTGACTCAAGATAGAATAGTCATACCATTTCAGATTGAAAACTCAGGAGATCCACCGCATTTTACCAACCCACAAAAGCTGACCTATTGGGAATGCCTGTACTACTTGCTGGTTACCATGTCCACTGTAGGATATGGAGATATCTACGCTACCACAACACTGGGCAGGATCTTCATCATTCTGTTTATAATGATCAGTATTGTGAGTATTAATATATCTTAGACTAAAGATAATATTCATGGTGTTAAAACATACTTCGTATAATAGTACATAGATCTCGGATCAATGAGACCTAGCTCTAGATTCTTGAACAAAAACAAAACCTTTCCTTCATTACGGAAAGAAACTCTAAATTATCCGTCATAAATGAAGTATTTCTAAACAACACAGGGATTATAAATTAATTCAGATTTACAAGTTCGAATACAAGAATTTGACTGAAAGTAAAGATTGAATCCACCAATGATAACTGAAAATATATTGACCTGCAATACCATATACAAAACAGTCAGCATACGTCAATATTTATGATATTTCTAGCAAAGACATTGAAATTAGTTAATTTGGTATTCACTTTGTGAACCAACTCCAGCTGTTCCTAAAAAATGTGGTCAAACATGTACCTTACTTAATAATCATATATGCCTGATTTTCCTGTATCTTTACCTGGATAAATAATTGATACCGTTCTTTTGTTTTTCTTTTGTGATGGTTTTTACTTGTGTTGTAGGGTATGTTTGCCAGCTTCATACCGGAAATCGCCGAGATCATCAGTCAACAGCAAAAATATGGTGGAGCTTATAAAAAAGAGCGGGGCAAAAAGTGAGTTGTGTTATATTTCTGCTTACATTTACTAAAATACCAACACACATAAACACCGGTACATTTTTTCACATACGAGCTGCCATTCAGAACTGCATACCTGATATTAATTCCGAAGGAAGTACTATTACGGAAAAAAATAAGAACTATTTCCAAAAAATCACATGCTTTTAAAGATACCTCCGGAGTTAATTACTAAAACTTTCGTTTCAAGCAAAGTTTTCATTGCTTTAAAGATAAATGTCCCTATTTCATGAAAACATTTAATATATTTGAATCTTGCTTTGCTATCATTTTCGAAGAAAAAACATTTAGCTAAGCATATTTGTTCACATGTTGTCTTATCTGAAATATACAAAAACCAAACATATGTCATAAAAATCGAAAGCAAGGAAGGAAAAATCAGTTGAAATATTACTAATATCAGTTTTAATTACAAAGCATATGATTTCATTGACACTAAATTATATTTTGAAACCTAGCACTATAAGAACTAGTCTGTCATTGCCCTTTGATTTTAGGCACATTGTTGTTTGTGGACATATCACCTTTGACTCCGTTTCAAACTTCCTAAAGGATTTTCTACATAAGGACAGAGAGGATGTGGACGTGGAGATCGTATTCATCCACAAGTAAGTGATGGTATTTTCAGCAGGTTAGTTATTTGTGTGTTTAATTCTTTTTTACATAATGTTCGTCAAAATCTCATTCAGCCATAGAAATAAAAACTTTCATTGAAATATAATGTCACAGGTCTTGAAGCGGCGCAGCATTTGTAAAATTTGTCAATTGGTCCGTCTGTGACTTTGAAGGTTGTAAACAAGATATCTTACGAACCCCTGAACGGATATTTTTCCAAATCAGTACCATGACATCACATCAGTACCTTGCGGTATTTTGTTGGTCTTTGTTTGAAGAAAAAGGTTACAAATTCCCCGTGACCACTTTTAAAAATATATATATAAATAAAACAGCATGGACAAAATATTTCATTAGCATTCAACAAAATGTGGATTTTAAGCATATGTATGTGAGTCTCGACTAGCCTCGGCTTACTTTTTTGTTTTTGTTTTTTTAGTTTTTTTTGTTTGTTTATTTTTGGTTTATTTCTTTGTTGGACTAATTTGACAATGCCAGTGAAGTTAGCTGTTTCAATATCAAAAACTTTAATACGAAAGACATAGATGTTGTAAGTCCCGTTTCAACAACCGCCTGGTAAGCATCACTCAGAAATCACATACAGAAACGTCAATCAATTTGCTTATGATAGAAGTTTTGAATAAACACTTGGAATGAAACTCACATTATTTTAACGAAAGTCTGCCAACATGTTTGGCAAACCCTAATTACAGTTTTGTGTGAAGGACGCAGCTATTTATTCTTGTAAAATGTTTTTAATTACAGGAGCCTGCCAGACCTGGAACTGGAGGGATTATTTAAGCGACACTTCACACAGGTCGAGTTTTTCCAGGGCTCGGTAATGGATGCTAACGACCTTGATCGAGTTAAGGTTAGAAAAAAAATCAAGATAAGATTAAATTTTCTTGAGCATATACAACGTCGAAAACAACATTAACAATTTTAAGTTTTTCTCACAAAAAATACCATATTTTAAGAAATTTGTTCCTTATCCCGGTTTTCTTTTTCAAACAAGAAGTGTGCTAATTTATGAAGGTTAAAATGTGAAGAATAAAAAGTGCAGGAAAGCAACCTTATTAAGGCGAAATTTTACAACTTTTGCAATTGAAGACGGACTATGGTTTAAATGCCGTTTTGTAGTATTTGGAAGACAGAAGGATGGAATGGAGGACACGTAAGCACAAGACTTATTTGTAATTTTTGTATATTATTCTGTTGTTAGGAAATTGATACAGTACATAAAATGTCAGATATTTTGCTCAAGCTGAAGTGAATATTGGTAGTTGTATATATCACATGAGTCAAAGCTTTCAATGTAGAGGATTTCATTGAAATCTGATGTCCACTGAAAACGATGTCGCGAAAAAACCTATATTTCATTAGAGCCAACGAGATTTGTACTTTGAAAGTATGATATACCTTAAACTAATGATGCAGCCAAATATAGCATCTTATGAAAAATAGATAAGGGACTGCAGATATGTTCACATGAAAAGACATTCTAAATAGAGATGATGCTGTAGTCTAGACTGATGCAACAGCAGATTAGCAGCGTGTATTTGTATGGACTGATATAAATAGATTATGATCTATTGATCTGTCTGTGTACTTAAGCATTATACACTGGTTTGATGATGTAAACCAGAAACTCAAATCTGTATTTGATAATGATATGAAACAAAATGTAATCCTTGTTTTCATTGTAATTTCTCTGCATCTTAATTCGAAAGTGTAACACCACATTGGTTGTCCTGGTAGGCATACTTTTGAATATGAATTACGCTTTTCACATGCTATGGTACTGCTTCAACGTGACTTGTTCTAAAATAGAATATTTAATGTCAGATGTATTGTATTGTAGGTGGTATCCGCCGACGCCTGTCTTGTACTAGCCAATAAGTATTGTCAGGACCCTGACCAGGAAGACGCGGCCAACATCATGCGTGTCATCTCTATAAAAAATTTCCATGCTGAAATTAAAGTTATCGTACAGCTTATGCAATACCACAACAAGGTACAGATGTCACAAAGAAAGCTCAACTCTTGTAAAATTTCTCAGGCGGCAGGCTGACTTCATACGGCGTATCCCTAAAACGATTTTTTTTAATATACTGTTAAGGTTTTGCTAACTGTTATTGTATATTGTTGAGTATGATTTTTACATGCTAGCCTCATCTGTTACCTGTTGAAAGAATACATTAAGCAATGACTACACTTTGTATTATTTGTTAGAACTTTCGTTATGTTTATCCATTTGAATCTAAGTATAAAAACTCGTTTCCAAGCTAAAAAATTAACATGTACTTGAATAAACTAATTGAGGCTTCATGTTTATCGTGTGCTTAATATAAAAAGATAATCTCTTGGATCTTGTACCAAGAAGTTGAGTTTTAACTTTGACGTCAACTTTTGTATCTAAACATCCTTTATAAAATTCTAACTTTTAATAACTCCCATTTTTAGTATATTCTGCAACCCTTCTTACTAAAGAATATCTTACTTTTTACTTGAGGATTTAACAATTCCCATAAATAAGATATTTTTTTTATTATACTCACGAATTTGACTTAAATCTTTGATATCTGTACAAACTTCAAACCATTATCTAACTGAAAAACTGTAGATGTAATTATGCATGTCTGTTTCTAATTTAAAACATAAAAGTCAATCATTCTACCTATATTTTCTGTTAGGTGTCCTTTTCTTATATCTTAAAACTTAACTTTCGGAGTTTTTGTTATCAAATTTTAAAAAAATAGATAAAACTTAAAATACTCAAACATAAAACTAAAATATTGATCCTGGTAAAAATGTCTTATTTTGCCATTCTCAACTTTAAATAACAGAACCCAATTGCTTATTCTGTTAAGGCGTATCTGTTAAACATCCCGAGCTGGGACTGGAAACGAGGAGACGATGCTGTGTGTATAGCGGAATTAAAGCTTGGATTTATTGCTCAGAGTTGTTTGGCTCCTGGCTTCTCTACTTTGATGGCTAACCTCTTTACAATGAGGTCATACAAAACAGTAAGTATTGATAAAATGAGAAAATAGCAAAAGTAATAATGGCGTCGGTTTGTACGAAGCTTTGGTTGTTTATCATAAATTAGCCGCTTCTTATTCCGCGAATAGACTGATATGCCTTGACAACGATGTTTGATGGTATCTAAAGCTGACTTGTCAGTTGTAAGCACTTGTATTGAGAAGGAGTAAACAAATAAACATAGCCAGGGAACAGAATTGCGTTGAATGTGTTGCTTGTAATTTATAAGCATTGTTTTCGCAGCCATTCTGATTTAACATTAAAATTAGGTCAGATAGGAGTTTATTCCTGATCATGTAACTATTTTGTTCTCACACTTTAATTTTACGTGATTAAATTGTTTATTTGAAATTTATGCTTTCGTTTTATTTGAGTTCTGATGTAGAAGTCTAACTCTGCATATGAAACCTGTCTTGATATAATACTGTCATTAGCTCCGATTACTCATCACATATAGAAAGCTATACATCATTAGTTGTTTGATAATCGGGTTTAATGGTAACATCTGAGGAAGTGGCAATTGTTCGTGAAAACAGCAGTTATCTAGCTCGTAATGTGGTAGCTGGTGATGAGCGTACCACTTAAAATGAAACAGGTAATGTAAGTCGTTTTCAGCAAGCATGCTATTATCAAGTTTCTATTTTCTGTGTGTATATTAATGTGAATATACAGGTATCGGTTAACAATTATAATAAAGAACAGTTCTATTTTTGCTGTAAAATGATTTAACTTAACATTACGTCACATTGTATTTTCCAGTCACCTGACATGGCCAAGTGGCAAAATGACTACATGCGGGGTACGGCTATGGAAATGTATACAGAATATCTGTCAAGTTCTTTTAATGGCATGACATTTCCTGAGGCCGCAGAGTAAGTTATGCTTCTCAACATGAAAAATCGCACTTTATTTATATAAGGTAAATTTAAGATATAATTTGATTAAGTATCAAAATATACTGATAAATTGTTTATCTGAACTCCCTCTTAGAAGGTGTTGCTGAGCTAGCTATATAGCCATTTTAATTCAGTTCGTGCGTATTCGACAGGCTCTGTTTCTCTAAGCTGAAGCTGCTCCTACTGGCAATTGAGGTTCGACAGGAAGAAGGAAGGGAGAGTACTCTAGCCATCAATCCTGGTCAGAAAATAAAAATTGAAAATGCCACCCAAGGATTTTTCATAGCGGAATCAGCAGAGGAGGTGAAAAGGTAAAGTTGCAAGTCACAATATAAAATAGTGTATTAATCTACAAATTTATATTTTTAATCTGTCTGTTTAAAACTCTGATAACTGTCCACTGAAACGATTTTAATACATTGTTATATTTTTTATCGCATTATGATATTATTTTCCCTTGTAGGGTTTAACTATTTGGAAAAATGTTATTTCTGTTATGCAAAATAAAACATACTCATATATTCAGTCATTTTGTTTACTTCAAATATCTATTATCTATTGATGATCGTTAATGAAGCAAGATATTTCGGTTTTGCTGTATATAAAGACTGCTTTAAGATCATACTTCATCAAAATCAATTAGAGTATTAAATACCTGTCTTAATAGGATGTGATATCATAATTATCATCGACGTTGTGGTTTGTATACATATATCGCATTGAACGATTCATGAAATACAACATGTACATTTATAGAAGGTTTTGAGGATCTCTGTTATTGGATCCTCAAAGTGAAATCAATATCGAAAATTATTGGAGCATTACTTACTTTTTTTTCAAAAAAATATTTCCCTCTGTTTTGCAGAGCGTTTTACTTTTGTAAAACATGTCACACTGCAACAACCGATGTGAGGGCGATCAAAAAATGTCGCTGTAAACCATGTAAGTTGTCTGTCATTTTAGCATGTTGATGTCTGTAGAAACTCGTCTTAATTATGATCCTAACGATTAAAAGGCAAATTATTTCTTTTAAAACTCAATTTCCTGTCATGTAAATTTAAATAAACTGTAATATTTTAAGTTAGGTGAAAGTTACATAATATTTCTTTAATTTGATTTACCATATTTCTTAAGTTTGAAGTGACCTTATGTATGTGATGTAATAATATCTTTTTATTATTTTTGTTCATTTTTTGCAACATGTTTATCTTGGACATCTGGTGTATATTTCGCTTAACAATTAGCTCAGTTCGATTTTCTGAAGGAAAACAATCAAAATCGTACTGTTGGTCGATAACTGGTTAGTACATGTAATAATTTCCTATTAGTTCCGATGTTGTCATGTAGAGCCAGGCTTTAACCTTTGTATATTAAACACCTTAATACTGCCTCGTCTTGCCTACCTAACAATCGACTCCGAGTAAGCTAACAGCTTGTTCTCAGGTCAATGGTGATTATTTATTTTGCATGAAAACAACTAACACACAAACGTAAAAAAGGGAGTAAAATATCTTTGATGCAAAAAGAATATCAATTGAATTTTAACATATGTAACTAATCAATGTTATCAAGATCGATATGTAGGTTGATAGATTATTGAATTGAAACAAATCATGATTTTATAATATACTGGTACTTTAAGATACTAAAATGTTTTGTTAGACACTGAAATATACAAAAGGCCTTTATTCTGCGAAATGCAGACTTCGGTAAAGCGGTGTCCTGAAAATGAGATTACTTTGAAAATACTGCCTATTATTATACTATGAAAATAAATATTAACTTAGCCTTTTTTTCATTAGATTCACACTGATAGATATTTTTCAAAGGCACAGGCATGCAACATCAGTGTTTATAGGTTAGGGAACGTTTGGTGTTCATAACGAAAATTCTATAACAACATTGCTAACAAAATCATTGTGGTATGGCTTTGTTAATGTTTTATGAACCAAAATAGCTAGGCATAGAACCAAGTCTACTGTTAAAATCAATGAAACAGCTTATTTCTGAACGGGTAACTGAATCCTTTTAGAAATTGATTTGGGTCAGTTTTTGTCTTGTTAAAAACAAAAACCTGGTGATACATTACTGTTTTCAATGAATATGAAAAAGCAACTGAGTCGTTAGCAACATGCAGTAAATAAGGGTAACGCTATTATCATGTTTTGTCATGAAATCAATATAGATCTATTAAGCTCGTTACAATAAAATGCCTGCAGAATAACTATAAGTTTATGTTCAAATACGTGATTGATTGACATTGAAAAAATGCGTTATTTATGAACGTAAGTCTATTGAGCTATCAAGGCATTCATCAACAATAGATATTCTGACAATATACGACTGAATGCTATTGTTTAAATTATGTGGGGGGAACGATGGTAGGTACAGGTGCAAGAGTAATAAATATGATTTATCAATTTTCACTTATACATTCATATATTTAAACTAGTAACACGATTAATTCAACCCAAATTAAGAACAATGCACATTTGTATGTCTGAAACAAAATAATTTTAATGTAACTTAAATAGTATTTTTTTGCAAGAATACCTTAATAACCATGGGAAATTTTAAGATATTAATGGGAATTAGGTTGTTTAGAAATAAAAGTTGTCAATCACATTCGGCTTGGACTTATACAGTTTTACAATATGATTAAGGTAAGAGTGAAATGTTCTAGCTATCCATTTACTTATAATATATATGAGCATTTGATCCAATTTACGTCACAGATATATTTCTCTAAAATAATCCTCAAGGGAAATAACCGTTTTACTAATATCGAGACTAATATGTATGCTTATGCGAGCTAAGATGGGAATTTGTAATCCTGTATCAACGTTGATATTAACACTGTGTCTGTTTCGTTTACGAATACATTATTACGCCTGAATAGTTTTTACATTGCTGAAAGCCTTATTGTATATATAATCTTGCGATTTCTTAAGAAAGTATAAACATTGTTTTATTGATATTTATTATTCACGGGCATTTATACGTGTTGTTACTATAGTTTAAGATAGACGACATCCGAATCAACAACGAAATTTAAATTCATACAAAAACATTTGAAATACACGTCTATCGTTGACGTTTATATATTCATGTCACGAATTCATTCATAGATGACTGAACAGGAAGGTACATATCTACTTTATCTACATATTGTGTTTTCAACCATAGAAATTTCCAATTAACATCACTGATCGTATGTTTATATCTATTTTTATTAGTAATGGAATGTGATATCATACGAAAAGTGTTTTATTATGACAATGATTCGGTTTAAGTTAAAGAAAAACAGACAATTTTTAAATTTTAAGATTTGAATATTTTTATAATTATGGTTGAATGGTTTTTTAGATTATCGACGTGACATGGATGTAATTGCTGTTTGATGAACCCAGTACTACGTTTACTTTGGCGACTGTTAATTTTATTATGGTAATATTACGAGATATACAAAAAATATTATTTCTGTCATATTATACAAAATATTACAATTATTCAATTAAAATTAATATAAGTTGCCTTATTCAAACGTAGTACAAGTTTTTCATACCCTTCATAAATTACAAATGCTGAATTTCCTGTTTATTTTGTTTCATCAGTGGCAATGTTTAAAAAGGGAGCTACGGCTGTGATAGGTACATTCATCTTCTCTCTGTATATCTGTGTAGAAAACAGTTTTTCTCAGTATCACCTGCACCTTAACAACCCTCTGAAGTCACATTTGGTCATTAATGAAAAGAAACATTTAAAAAGACGTTTATAATAAAAGTAAAAGTATTTACAAATAACTTATTTTCAATCTTAGCAATTCCTTCAAAATTTTCAAGTGACAATTTTTCAAAAGCAGTTATTATTTCAATGCAGTTCAAAATTAAAAGTCTAAGAACTATATTTTTACGATAAAATCGGTTTTTAAGGTGACGCTCACCATAGCCAACTTTTATTTAAAATTATCGGACAGTTTTGGCTCAGTTAAACATCCCTCCCTCACGAAGGGTTTTATAATATAATTTTGTTGAGGTCAGCTATTTTCTATCAGCTTTCAGCAAATTTAATCAAAATTTTATAAGGAAGTATGGCGAAATGTGGCTATATATTACTCAGAATAATGTCATGATTATATCATTCAGATATCTGTTTATTGTTTACTTATTACCTTCAATGTTTGTATTTGTATTAATTGGTGTACGTATTTGTGTTTGTTGTTTAGTCAAAAATATGTAATAATGCATGTATTGTTAAAAACTAAATAACAAGAAAAAAAGTGAAAAATAGAAAGAATACCAACATGTTAATAGGATCATAATCCAAATTCAAATTTAATAAAACTAGGGCAAATATGAAGACAAGAAAGATTTACACGAAACTAATAAACGAGTACAATGAAAATCAGACCAAATGTTCCAAAGAGTAAAGTATAAACAAAGAGTAATTCAATAGTGACCAGTAGTGGCAGACGTTATGATATTTATGTACTTCAGTTCATTGCTACTCTTCTGATTTATCTATACAGTATTACTTAAAACTTTGATAATACACACACAGTTTTCTCTTCTTAACTAACATACATGATATTGCAAACAAAATATTATTATTTGTTGTGAACCTGATATTCCTCTTATGCCTAAATGCTATGTTTACTTATATTCCTATATTTAGATCTGAAATGACCTAAAAACACTCGCCTTTAAAATGCCGCCAAACGGATTTTATTATACTTATGACATGAATATACTTGTTGAAAATTCAATTTTAGACGCCAATTGATTTTCTGAATAACAATATCCTGTTATTCATCCGTTGTACAAAATCAGCATTAAACTAATTAACAAACGTTTGTTTTCAAATGAAGCACTGTGAAATATGGTACATGTAACGCGAGCTATGGTTTCAATAATGCGGATTACTGATTGTGTTTGCCAAACCTACGAATCACAAAAAGAGGAAATCAATAGACATTTTAAACAAGGCCATAGTTGTTGAATTGAAGAGTATAGATACAATACCCATAATTTACATTATTTAACACTTACTACAGCCTGAAAGGCAGTCATCAGATGGATACAATGCTTTATCACCTAAAATATTGCGACCTAGAAGCAATACAGCGTGCAAGTTTAAACATTTATACCATGCCTTATCAACTGACTGATAAATTGATGGAATTTGCTCGATTTCCTTTTAATCATTGTGAAAACATCAATTGACGAGGAAAATAATAAATATAAAAATGTTATGTTTCGCCTTTATGCACCAAGATATCTGGCTTTTAGTTCTTTCACTAGTGTAATCGATATCAGTTGTTAAATATTTCGTGGAAAGACGTTTTGATCGAAACAGTAAAACTAAGGTCCACAAACAAGTTGCTTAAAGATTTAGAACACACCTAGAACAAACTGAAATAGACATTGACTTGTTTATATCAAGTATTGAATAGGTCAATGACCAACAGTATTTTTTAAAAACTCTTAGAATACCACTTCTACTATAATTCATTCTCGTATATAAAAAAAATCATACATTTTAATTTCTCTGTCATTGAAAACCAGCCATTTTGAATAGTAAATACACTTTTCAAATATCAATTTTCAATTTCTATTTTAAAGCATGATGTCAATTTATTCTCCTAGTACATAGTATCATGTATGTCTTTCTGCATTTTATATTTTGGTGTCACTTGATATTGTTGCCTTTTTTCGCTTTTAACTATTATACAGTCAATATTCTGAAATGCAGAACACTGGTTGTGATAGATGGATAGATAAACACTGTAACAGAATTTATAACATTAAATGTGTCAATATAAAAGTGATTTTCATAACCTTTACTTAATTTGATTTTGATATTTAGGTAAGTTCAATTGAATGTACTTGAAAGACAAACAAACAGGCCAGGTTCCCGCACTGAGAGTGTTGGGCGTTCCTAACTGAAAGATAACTGTCCGTAACTTTCATTTATATTGATGGCACAAATCACTGAATATCGACTAAATGCAAAACAAGAAAGAACATATTAAACTTTTCATGTAAATCGGAAATAGAATCGGCAGATTTTTGTCACTATTTGCATGATTTTGTGCACATTTGTAATCATCGTTGTGATTTGTGTTTGTTTCATTCTCTGTATGTGTTTGTAATGTCTAACTGTATGAGGTAACGCTGTGGTGTTTATGTATGATCCTGCTGACATATTAACATTGTCTTACAACTGAGGTAAGGTCTGGCTACTACACTTTTAACTTTTTCACCATAACAGATCAGTGCTGAAGTAGGTAGTTGTCTTCTCCTTTTATATTGTTTATACAATTAATCAATGTTGCTAAATAATATTAATTCAATCGTTTGAAATGGGAATTCAGTTGTCAGAATGATATGATAATTGAACCTACAACTATTAACTGTTTCCTAGGTTATAGCATCTCCAAGTTAATTGGTAAGAACTCTTTGACCAATGATTGTCTTGGTAACAGCATGTCATTGGTATTGCAGTTTGCGTGAGGTTTTCTTGGAAGGCACGACACAGTCGGAATTCATGTTTTATGGGATAGTTAATCATTTTGAATCCCGCATATCCATATTATGGTGAAATGATTGAAAGACATGCTAATTATTTTTTTTCAATATAGTTAACGTAACCTGAGAAGAAGTCTCATGTGACCTATTACAATTGTCTTTTGTCCGTCGTGAATCTTCATTTGTCCGTCCGTAAAAAATCGACTGAACCCCTGAGCAAACTTTAGTGAATTTTTGCAAAAATTTGTGAAGGTCAAGGTTGAACATAAATTATGAATTATTTGGTCCATATCTTCAGGGAGCTGAGGGGCGAGGCTGAAATGAGTCAAGTTAAATAAAATTTCTAAATTCTTCTCAAAAGCGAGAATCAGCTGATCTTCATAGATTGAAGAATTTTAAGGGGATTTTGTTTTCATTTTCATTTTATTACTCTAGGAATTGATGTTCACTCCAGGGGAAGGGATACAGTTTGTAATCGTTTATGTAGGCTAATTGCATTTGTTTTAGGCTAATTGAATTTGTGTTTGTTTAGTTTCAATTACAAATAATTCAAACTTGATTATTAATGTAAATATAGGATGGTATGCACCTTTTTGCCTCGGTAGACCGCCAGGGCTGATGGGCGGGGCTGATAGTAATAGGATTCAAATAAGAAACACAGATTTAATAGAACCAAATACTCCTCACAGATAAAAGGGTCTTACGCTGCTTTACAAAATTATTAATTTGATGACTTCAATGTCTCACAGTTTTCTCATGGAGGAAGTTTACCATAGCTTATGTAGGAAAACATTTTTTAGCATTTGTTAGAATCCTTGACATATGATACCATGTACAATATACATTTGCATTACATGTACAATGTCTTTAAAGTTGTCTTACTTTGTCAGATGATTTGAAAGATGATATCTATGATATATATTTCAAGAATAACCTCTGTAGAACTTTGGTGACTGTTAAGACCCTTGGGCCTCTTGTATGATTTATTTAATGCACATATGAAATCACTAACTTGTCTTTAAATAAAATTACAAATTAATTTTATAATTGATATAACTGTCCGTAATTTCATATCACCATACTAATGGAGAGTTAAGCTAGAATGGTTTGCACAGGAGACTAGAGTCAAACAATATTTCCTTTAAATCACATAGATTGATTACATCTATCATGGCTTGCTGTTGATATACTTGGTATAAACATTATAACAGAAAGCTTTATTACTTATTATTACTAATTGTATGGACTTGTTTTAAGTAGTTTTATTTTTCTGCAGTAAAACGACTGTTAAAGGACAAAGGAGGTACTAACATTTAATGCTGAAAGTCTGCTCAATGCTAGCACCTTATCACTTATCAAAATAGCTTCATAACAGCAGCAAAGTTGATAATACGCAGCCTACTCATATGCTTGGTCAGATGATAATCAATACTATTCACTGGAACTGGACACATAGTCTTGGTTAATGCGACCCCATATTTTGTCTTGGAACGAATTTCCTTTGGAATGATTGATCATTTGGTAGACACAAAATAACAATAAAAATCTATAACATTGATGAATTAAATCTGAATACAAAATCAAAAGTATTTCAATTATAAATAATAAACTTCAAACAATCAGGATTTAATGTTGGGAGTATTGCTAAAAAACAATTCAGGTACTGAATGTAATGTGTGAAAACTATAATTGTACATCTATCAAGACTCTGTGATTGACCAGTTCTAATATCACATTAACAATATAATTTGCGAGGAGCAAAGAAATGTGCCTTTATTTTAGTTTCAAGTGAGTAACACAACGACTTTTCAATTTAGCTGTGGATTATTATATTTGTTAGTAAATTCCGATGTGTGGATAGCAAAGTCAATGACGTCACAATAAGAATAAGTTTAAAATGTATTGTGATGATATTGACATACACAGGGGGAGATTTTCCAACTATTACAATACCACAGCTGAAATAGAGGTTGTATTCAAAGATTCGGTCCACGGTTCACATTTCCAATATAAAATATCACACACCTCACTTTTCTTGGGTAATCATATTTGTTTACAATATGAATTAATTATGAATCCACCATCACTATATATAATTTGCTGATTTTTTTTATTTGTCTTTATGGCCATTGATCTTAATTTAATATCATAAGATCATATTCAGAATTTTATAGAACAGTGAAATTGACACACATTTCTAGCTGATACATATATTACAATTTTATAGTCCGATAGAAATTCGAAATATTCTAACAAATTGATAAATGTCTTAAATAAAAATTAAAATATATCAGTTTCTTAGTTCCCACTTATAACCATATATCGCAGTTGTACTATTCCTGAATGTTTCAATATATCTCGTGTGTGTATTTTTTTAATTTGCTCGTGATATATTATTGAAGTTTTCACAGAATGGATCTTATTTCATGCTGGTTTAAACGGTTTCGAGTTTATAACGCAGTGTATTTAAATCCTCATCTGAAAATATGACGTATTATTTAGCGTCGCGTTTAACTATCTAATTTCGCTATTGTATCTTAAAAGAAAGATATCATAAACCCCTAGTCGCCAATATTAAGATTCAAAGAATTTGTATTTATTGAGTTTTCGTCAGATTATGAATAATATGTTGACATTAATTTTTTATTGTTTACATACGGAATATCAAATATCATTAAATTTTATGATTATGTATTTCTGTTTCTAATTCAGTATAATTAATTAATATCGCATTGCTAATGAAAATATAACAAAGATAATATTACGAGAACCTATTTTTGATGTTCTCAATGATTGAATGTGAATTTGAAATCTCGTAAGGACATTATTAAGGGTTAATTGTGAATTTCAAATTTTGTAAGGAATATATTCAGGGTAAATTATGAAAATTGTTTAGATATTCAATAAGAAACATTTACTGATATCCTGTCAAAGGCTAGTTTATTTTCCTGTGATATTTCCAGCGAGTGCAGTGATAGAAAATACAGGGGCTCTGGAAGGTATATTTGGTTAAATAATGCTATGGCTGGCAGCTGTATTATAAAGAATGCTATACATATATATATATAGAAACGTTAAGTTCTATTCTTCTTTTCACGTGCTTGACACTTTTTTTCACATTTCAGAAATAAAATTATTTTACATTTTCATCAAATATAGAGAGATTTTTACTTTAAGGATTAGCTTTAGACATTTTGTGAGTCTTAGAAACTATAGTTTTGTGTTAAAACATATCATATGATTAATGCATGTATGCATTTAGTATAATTTCAGTACGTAAATCATTTGTATGACATGAATGAACTTAGGCAGTAGGTAGCCATGGAACGTCCATGTGTATACAAAAACCAGGATCTCAAAAGCCTATTAAAACCCGTTTGAAATCAATTCACTCTATTAAAATTAAAACAACCCTAGTGTACCAAGACAAAACTTAGCTATCGCCCTTGATGTGCAATATAGAACACATTGAAAAACTCAAATATCGATTTAAAGTATTTCTTATTTCTGGTTATTTAAGTAAAATTAAACGGTTATGGTGACTTTCATTTCATCATAGAAGAAAACAATCATTCAGTTGATTAATGCGAAGACGTTAATTTCTATGAAATTAACATACCTACATGTGCATATTTGTGTGTTTAAGACTCTTTATCAATGAAATAATATAGTCATCACTCAATCTAACAAACAATAAACAAGTAAACTGTCAAAAACCTTGTTTTTTTACGTGGCTACGCATGATCGAATAGGAATATTTGTTTTTTTTTCCTGAAGTGAGTAATAGTGGTTACAAGGGGCTATCGCCATTGTTACCAGCATTTGTAATTGCATGTTCACCGTTATGTCAACACCGCCATTGTGAAGTGCGATACTTACCATCTGGGAGTATGTAAACAAACGTTGTAGGACGAATGATGCAGTCATTCATGTATGCATTCTTACTTAAAAATCAAATGAAAAATAATAAAATATCAAGCACTATTCGTGATTTAATGCATTCTCATTCCAAACGAACGAGAAACTAAATAAAAACTTAATAAATCTTTGCATACTAGATTTTAAAAGAAAATTTAAAGTAGGAAGAATAATCTTTATTTTGTAACTTGTTCAGTTTTTTGAGAAGCAACAGGGTTGAGGAAAGTAAATGCCAAGGCATTTGGCTATTGAACAGTTTTTCTTTTGAGTTTACTGTAAGCTTGAAATTTGAAAATCTTAGATATCGATTAAGAAGCACATCTGTGTTATCTGTGTTATCAGATTCACATGTTTACCTTCTACAATGAGCTTACGTATAACATTTAAACTTAATTGATATGAACCAAACCACGTAATACTTATTTATCGATTACTTGTATTAAGCATTTTTGTGATCCTTGTTTTAATGATTAAATGATAGATAAAAAAGGGCATGAAAACTTAAATTAATCATTAGATAGTAGCATGAAATTGAAAACGAAATCGACATTTTTACCTACAGCTGAATAAACACTTTCGTAACCTAAATGAGATTAAGATATTTAATTATCTTTATAGAAAAAATCGATAGGTGGCGAACATTAAATTTGCAGATAAATAATTTCTCCACAAACACTGCTACACCTGGTTTATGATTTAATGGCAACAGAAAATTCAGAAATTGTCAAAGCATGCATAGCATGATGCCATTTTATGCATGGACTGTTATGTGGATATTTGTGGAATTTGTATTGTTTAATATAATCATTGCATTCATATTGATATGAATATGGACTGATTCATATTTCACTGAAGACTACAATCTTGAATATGGTTCATGTATATATCTGCTTTTATCTTGTTTAATATACAATGTATGACATTTTTGCCAACACTGAAAAAAGCAATTTTTCAACTGAAGCAAATTTGAGTTTTCTAGTATTCTCTTTTCATATATAGATTAATAATGTACTGTTTACTTTGTAGGTATTTATTTTTATTACGTTAGGTGTTCAATAATGTATTTTACAAAATAAGTGGTTATCTACCTTAAAACAGGTACACCAGAAATTGAGCGTAAGTAGTGTAAGCCAGTATCACGGCTGTGAGTTTGAAATGCATCATTCATAGTGGTTTGAAATTTTAATTCGTTTAGAATAATAATTTTGAAGATTTCATATGATTAAAAAATTAACATATTAAATAAAAATATTAAATATTTTTTTTCATCACATGCTTTGATTTATTTAGTATCACATGGATTTTTTTCGCAATTCAACCAAAGAATTCAATTTAAAAATGCCGCTGGTAACATAAGTATATAATATACAAAAAGGCATATGCTTATGTTTCCAGGTAGCTAATAAGGTATAGAGTGTATTAATTTTTATTCATACTAACATTTTATGCTGTTGTAATAAGATTTCAATGTGGATTTTCCAATCTTTTACAAAACCTATATTCGATATTAAGTGTTGCAACATTGCTGAAAATCGTAATGAAAAAGAAATTGGTGTGAAAAGCTTGGCTTTATTAACAAAATTATTGGACCAAACTGTCATTTCATTCGAATTCTTTAATGACATCTGACAACAAAAATAAGGAAAATATAAGTATTTTGACAATTGCTGTACTTGGTTAAGTTGTTTCACGGATTGTGTCATACGCTATTATTTAGGATTTTGAAGACACCAGTTATAAACGATTTTAGATATATATCTCAGTGCTAATAATCGTCATGAAAGTCATTCAGTCTTAACATTGTTGATAAAAATATGATGAAAGTGATAGTCAATGGTCTTGGCATGGTAAAGCTCAAGTTATCGACGTAACAACTGTTGTTGCTTTTAAAGATACAAATGTATGATCGTGTTAAGAATCGATTTTTTTTTATCTGAACTGATGTGGCACTGATGCATGATATAGAAAGATGAACATGAACAGATTTTCTGCTTAAATAAACAGAAAAGTTAACTATGGGTACAGGATTCTTATGGCAAAATCTAGGTTCTTGATATTGAAACATCATTATTCTGATCTTGATATTAATAAATGTATTATTATAAGAAAAACTGTGGATATTCCTCTCTTACAACTTGGTAATGTTGTATGTTGGTATATCGCTTTGAAAAACGTTTTCTACATGATCAGCATACAAGTAGACGTCTTTGCAATAAAAGAGATGAATAAGAAAATGTTTAATCTGGTAATAATTGAATTTGTTATACGTCTGTTGCTTCGATCAACAGAACAAAAATCATTTCGACAAAGTTACGTTACTAAGATTTATTTTTTAAATGCAATGTATTTCCATTTCCGGTTAACGTTTTTAATTACGTGCATACTTCATTTTAAAAGCAGATTTGTTTTAAAAGTATTTCATTCTTTGATATATTTATACAAAATCTATTTTTTTCAAATTATGCCAAAATGACTTCTATTCCTTTTGTAAACAGCCGCAAACCCAATGCTTACACAAAAGGATCGCAAAATGTCGGCAAATACATTCAAAAACAAACTAGGAGATGGAGGTGGTTCAGCTGCAGGAGGCGGCGGTGTTGGCGGAGGAGGAGGAGGAGTAGGCGGTGGCGGTGGTGGCGGAGGTGGCCAAGGAGGAGGTGGCGCTGCAGCTGTTGCTGCCGGGTAAGTCTACAAATAATCACAGTATTCTCAACCCAATCACCCAAGACAAGAGGTCAACGTCCTCTGTGAGTGAAGTGATCAGATTGTCTCTCCAAATGGATACATTTGATTCATTTGCCCTCCGTGTTGAACGTGGTTCCTCGAAACTCCATGTGGTCGAATATCTTTACCTGTCTACTTTTGTACATTATCATATACGATTTTGTTTTTTATCGGTCGAAACGATTTAAAGCCTTTAAACATTTACAACGTACGACTTTGAAAAAGTTTAATTCCTTGTAATTTACGCACAGTAATATCAGCTAATTAACCACCAGCTGTTGTATTCTAAATCATTAATGTTGATGATTGCGATAATAATTTCTTTTCGTTTTTATATTGAAAATCAGTTGTTGTTTCTACCAACATATTCAAATACCAGGACAAATTCGGGATGTGTTTTTGCTTACTTTTGTGAAAATCTGTGATTTGTCTTTTTTACATGCACACCTAGAACAAATACACAGCTTTCCAAAGATCATGCTTAACTTATACAGTATATATTTATAGTTGTCGAGAAGTTGAAAGTTGAATATATGTTACAAGGAAACATACATGCTCAGTTACTTAGATCCAGTATATGGATTGATGAACAAATTGAATGTTTGATTATGATGGTTACGATGAACTATTAATATACTTTTAAATATACTTTGTTGATGGACAAATGTTTGATAGAGAAATTCATGTATTCATATACAAAAGCACAAGTTTATAGACACTGTTTCGGAATGTATACAATCTGCATTATGCAACACTGCATGTATTTTCAAGCATGATTCGAGCGCATTAAAAACGATTTTATATAGACAGTGTCTATTCATATCTGTCAAGCAAACGAATTTACATTAAAAAAACACTTTACAAATACTAGCTCATCACACTTCATCAAACAGGTCTCGACAGTACAATACTGAATATTGTATAAAGGGAATTTTTATATATTAATAACAACTTAACAGCACGGCGTTGATGATATATTACATATAAATAGATTTCATGTCATTAGAACATTTTTATTGTGTGCTTGAAATTTGATCCATCCAATCGTTGTGATATATATGAATATATATTCCACTTTAAGATTTTAAATTAATTATTTGACGATTTAAGCCTAACAAAATGCAGTCCGTGTGATAAGAAATGATTTTAGATATGGAAACTGTACAAATATCAAATTTCAAGTACAATTGCATCATTTTAGTAATTAGATTATGTGTGCTGATCAAATGGGACAATTTTTATGAGGTGAAATGACATAACACGCAATAGCATATATGCTATCATATATGTCATTATCAATGGTACATACGAGGTTTAGTTGTTCAGTGACATGCTAGTCTTACTTTTTCAACCATTTTTTGGGATTTCAGTGTTGATGATGGAAAGGAAGAGAAAGTTATGAATTTATTTTCATTCTCCCTTTCTAGAGGAGAGAAGCATTCTACAAAATACGCCTCCCTTAAAGGCCCAAGACTTGCTATGTAAAATGTCTTCCATTCTCTGCATGTCGTCAGTTACAGTTTTTGTTGGAAATATGACACACGTATAGGATTTACACATTGTCATCGAAACATAACTACAATAGCTTCTTCGAAAAAATATCGAGAAGTTGAAAAACATAAGTTGTGAAGTGGCATATCTTCGTTAAAATTATGTCATGTAAATTATGGTTACAAACGGTATTCGTTTTCGTCATCTAACCTTAAATACAATTGAAACAGAATCACTTCCTCTTAAAAAGGCATATGTACAAATATATACAGAAAACGCAAGTTTATGAAGTTTTAAATATTCATTATTGCTAGAGTGTAAATCCTATACAATCAGTATCAGTTTAAATTAGAAGATTTTAAAAATGTGATACCCTAAAAGCATTTTTGATTGATAAAATTAAAATACTAATATTTGTGTTGAAATATATAGTCGATTGGTAAATTGAAATAGGTGTCTTAGTAACAAATGCAATGGAGAAGCTGTATCAATTACACTGTGTATACCATATATCTGTCAACAATAAGTGCTAATGCTAATGCCATACATAGAAAAATCCTTTGAAGTGATAACTACAAGAAATTATTGTAGCATTATTACGTTAGATTTCTTTATGGTGTTTACATTGGTTGAATATATTTGTCTTTGGAGATGGGCGGCGCGAGCTTCAGGAATTATAGAATCTGAATTTACTTTGGTACTAATGGCATGTAAACAAACAAATATATGTGTTTTGAATGTGTGCGTAAGTTTTATGTACTTTTATTTGCATAGACAATCAAATCGTACTGGATCCAGAAAAAAAAGTTCCCTAGTGAAATATCATACGCTGCCTAATACTTAAACGAAAAAAGTTTTGTCCCATCGAGTCTTATTTATTTTATTATTTAATTCAAATTGCATTCACTCATTTGTACAGATACGCTCAAAAGGAAAATTTGAAGCAGGCAATATTATCAAGATATCGGACAATGTTAATTCAAAATGTACTGTTTTAATTTAACATCGGGAAGACAAACAAGTTCTGGATCCAAGTTGAAACTGTTGTGAAATTATTAGTTACTCGCCGGCTGGCATTGACGCTGTAAACAAATACTCGCAAAATGAATTATATTGTGTTGTTATGTTAGGGTAGCAATGTGGCGATGTCGGATTAGTATAGGCTGAGCAGAAATTTGTTGTGTAAGAGAGATAGCTTATTTACCTTGTTTATGATATTTTTTGTTCAATGTAAGAAATAATAACATGGATGTGCTATAGTTTGAAACGGATCCTTATCATTACAACAGGTTTTTATTAAACATTATGGTATTTCATCGTTTCCGTGGCTGCTTCTATAGCTTGTGTTGTCAGCTTGTGGACGTGTTCGATATTTGAAAGTTGATTGATGATGCCTGCAAATATATCCTTCTGGAAATCTTACATTTTGTTTGTAGAACGTAATCATGGTTCTTAATCATGGTAGCAGTAAAGTAATGCAAGTAGGATTTGTTGATGTAGTTAAACAATCTGCTAAAGTTTAAGTATGCTATGGATGTTGTTGTTTTAGAAAAGAAAAAGGAAAAAAGAAAAGGAAAAAGAGTGACCTAAATGGGTATTGAGATAAAGATTGACTTAGGTATCTGGTAGTCTCTTTCTGAACTCATGCCTACCAAATGCTGCCGTATAAATCCCTACACAGATGAAAACAAATTTTTCGGACATTAGAATCAAATTGAGGTTGAACAGAAGGTGGATATTTGGATTAATTTTGAAAATATAATTTCCGTTCATGATTTTTTTCACCTTTGATTAATTTTAAAATGTCATTTACTAGAAAGTTGCATTCTATTGTCTGTAAAAGCAAACTATACGACTCCATGCAATTTTGGTAGGTAGATGGGTAGGTTTACATTACTGTAATTAACCTGATTGATAGTGCACGTATTAATAACTGGTGGTGGGATGTGTACTGATATTTAATATTTATGAATAGACTATGATTAGTGACATATACACAAAAAATTACAATTTATTCAAGTTGATGAGACAAAGCAAATAAGGAAAAAAGGATAAGACCGACAACTGCATCTAAGAGTGTGGTGGGTTTTTTTCTGAACATATTTCCAAAGCATTTAAAAATTTCAAAGAACTTACTATAACTAGCCTTAGTACTTTCATCACTTTGATTTAATAAATGTAGGCCTTCGAGAGGAAGTCATGAAAATCTTAGAGGGACTTTCAATCAGATATCATAGTTATTACGTAAGTTAAGTATTGCAATTGATGTCAATGTTGAATGCTGGACTTACGGCATACAACGTTTTACTGTACAGTTAAAGTGTCATACAGTGAAACATTCGTCGTCACGCCAAAACGCCAGGGATACATATTTTATGGCTGTTTGATGTATTCTGTACAGTGTATGTGGTATTATGAATATATCTATGTAATCAACGTAGTAACATAGGACTGTAGCAACGAGTACCAAAGCATGTCATATGCATGACGTATGGAATACATACATAGGAACTGATATTATCGATACATGTGACTGATCCATTTTGGTTTCTACACAATGTTATAATTATCTGTCGTATGGATGGAATATTAAATGCATATTCTCATGTATAAGTTCGATATATTTCCTACTACATTACTTTTAGAAATCATATCACTAGCATAAAAGTAAACAGCTTCCGATCAGATAGTTCTCTCATTATTTCATTCTGATTTATTCTTTTTAACCGTTTTTTGAGAAACACCATGAAAAGCATTCAATTATGTAGATGTGTGAATGTTACACATATGATCAAGAGAGGAAATCAATTGAAGTTGTTTTGATACTTTATGAGAAGAAGTCCAAATAACCTACCTTTTGTGATGGCCACTAGTCCATTGTCTTTTTCACGACCATAAGCAATGGTGTTTTTTGACGAGTAATTAACTATTTTGTTTTATGGTTACAATCACCATTCGAAAGACGTTGTCGTCGATGAAGCAGAAGACGCCTTCTCTTCCTGAACATCTTATCTTTTTCTCATTGTACTTTTACAGGAGTCTCCGTGTAAATCTCTGTTTTGTTATATTTTCCCTTGTTTAATAGAATTTGAATTTTGGATAATGAATATGTTGACAGATTGACATTTTCTTTTTTTACGCTACACGAGTGGTACGGTCGTTATAAAAAAATAAGTTTTGTTAACTTCGGACCCCTATCCACTCCAGCAAGGACGGAGTATAATTTTTTTTATACTTCCTGCAGAAATATGATACCATTTGAATAACAATATAAGTTTCCGAACTTTGAAAATGAAAGAAATTGTCATAATTATAAACACAAAATGTATATCTTTAATGATAGTCTTCCTTACAAATGATCCGGAACTGAATGGACTTAGATGTTTCTCAAATAGATATCTTGATAATGATATTACATGAATATTGAATACCGATGAGCGTTTAGTCCCATTAGCCTTTTGTCTATTTTTTTTTATTAAGCACTGGAATACGACTTTCGATTATTGTAAATACTTTCCATTGGTCTAAAAAGTGGTCTCGGGAGATTCATATTAATTTTTATATCTTATCTAAAGTTTTAACTCCATGCACTAGATGAAAATGAACACTAAGTATCTATAACTTTGATATGAAAAGACGGTAAATATTTGTCAACAATTACAATTTTTTCACGTGGAAATGGGATTGAAATGAAATTAAGTAAAACAAAAGATTTCGTTTTATAGTTAGAGGAGAATAAGACGACAGCAAAAATTTCACTATAATGATACTTCTTTTTCTAACAAAAAATCTGCTATCCTTTTTCACTTTTCATCTAATTTCTGCCTGGATATTTATTGTAAATGAAATGCCTTTACAAGAATATGTGTTGCGTATTTGTTTGCTCTCTTGACACTTGTCGGTCCCATATTTGTTTTCATGAAAATATCTTTTTGGTGCCAGAAACATTCCAATGAAAAGGCACAGCAATCAATTTAATCATATTTCATTTACAGTCTATAAATCATCTCAAGCTGTATAACTTGTGTACGGTTTACTAATGTTAAATATTTTGTTGTACATTGAACCGACAGGGCTTTAGCGACACTTTGGTCAAAGACAAAAGAGTAAGATATCCACGGCTTTTGTCTTGTTTGGATGGAGGTTTGACCTCTCCATTTCCTATCACATGCACAATACAATACAATAATACTGTTTAGTTTTTTCTGCTAATTCTCGCTCTTCTGAAAACGGACAGCAACCATCTCATGTGGTTTCATAGTGGTAGATTCTTTCCGGTAACATCAGTACAATATTCTGGAAATTTTGAAATAAAGAAATAAAATATTTACTGAATATCATTTTGCAAATGCAAATGAAAATCACTTCCTGTGATAATGAGGTTTTAATCAGTGAAAATAAAAAGTGTTTTCTGACCATTCACAGAATCTGGTGCTGGTGTGAAAAATTGGATCTGAAACTATTTTTTCTTGTACCCCTTGTACCCAATACGTATTTTTCGTCTTTTATCATGGACGTGACCTCTCATGTAGCAGATTATATGCCATCACACCGAAATGGCTTTGATTTTACTGCTGTTACGTCAAAGACGACTTCAGTTTATTGGTACATTTATTTATCAGGAACATATATGATATATGTGATACGTTGTGTGAAGACAAACAAGCATATTGGCCATTCATGATTGTAGATAACCATCATATCACAACAAAGGGTACAAGATTCAATTCAGTCTGTCTTTCTATCTGTATTCTAGATCTACGCATGCCGCTCATTTCTGTCATATCTGATGTTTCATTCCTGTCTTCACATTCATCATTAAAAATCTAGGAATGATTTTGATAATATACTGTTTCCAAGCACCGGAACAGTTTTTTATATCTGTTTAAGTAGCACATTTAATTTTAAAGCGTTTTATTACGCGTGTTCGGCTTATGAATGCAGTCTGCTCAGGCGGTTATCATAATGAGATATTTCTTCAGAAACTCCACGATCAAATTTTTTTTTTAAATTAGACAAACTTTTTCCACGACAGTCTTTGTCAATTAAAAAAAACCCCATTAACTAAATGTGTATGGCAAGTCATTTAGTGTGTCAGTTTTGATCAATTTCCACCTAAGCAGGATGCATTCAAATACAGATTTGGTCTTGCATGTTATTGTTTATGAATTGTTAAAATTGGTTCATTTTTTAAATAAAGGCTTAGATAATCAACGATTTCAACTATTTTACACAGATTGAAATGTGTCGCTTTATACAAATGTGTCACAATACAACATCGGTTATGTTATTTCATTATACAATTTCATTTTCATTGGTTTCTACTTTTTTGTATTGTCATATATTTATTTGATAAAATACATTTGCTTCATGAACATTACAAGCAGGATATTTTTATCGCCTCTTTAAGAAAAAAAATAAGACGAACAACTTCAATCAATATATAGAAATGTTATTTTCGATATTAACGCTACAAGGGAGATAATTCCGACATTTCTTTTTTCTGTTTGTCGTCAGAATATGCCATATATTGAATATGAATTTTGCGAGGGCATGGAATTATGGTTAGATATATACATCATTTTAATTATTTCATTCAATCGATTGTTAACTTCTATGTATGGAATGTTAGCCTGTTGATAATTTTGTTATATCTGTTATGTAGTATTTTCTATCCCTTTTCACTGGATTGAATAATAACATCTTTTCTACCTCGTTGCACTTTAGATCATATCTAATATCACATAGTAGACGCATGTGTGGAAATTTCAATTTTGATGCATTAGAAAAAAACGTTATTATTATTATTATTATTATTTTTTTTTGCATGATATTTTGAATATTTCTTTAGTTTTTCTCCTTGACAATTTGTACAAATAATTTTACTGTAAAACACTTTTGATTACGATTTTTTGTCATTTACTAGAATATAACTTGATATAGACAATAAATGAAACAGTTTACTACAAATTTTTATTTCAATAATTTTAATGGTTTTCTTTGTCTTGATTTTAACACTATTATCGAAACCGTTGTAAAGCACTCTTTGAATTGTTATATTTTCTTATTTTACGTTTTCTCCACGATTTCTAAATCAATTGTGAAAATCTTTTTTAAGATCGGAATCTTGATATGTAGAGAGCACAATCATTTCAATGACTTTCCATGGCACCGTCATCATAGGACTATTATTATTTTCCGATAACTTTCATCCTATTATGGTAAACGTCTTAAAATTCTTTCTCTCATTAATAATTTTTTTTCTCAATAGAATAAGCACTTCTTATTTCATTAAAATTTGATAAAAACCTACTGACAAGTCTTCATTAGGAGACTATATAAAAAGCAATTTTTTTAAAATTCTAACATTTTACTTATTACATTTTCTGTGTCTTTGATAATATGTTTACATTTATGAAAATTTTAGGACATTTTCCATAATGAGAGAAAACTTTATTTAGTTAGAATAGCTTCGCATTCAGTTCTGTTAGTTACACTACTATATTTGCGTCATTAGGCCTCAAAGCCCAAGTAAAGCTACACTCCCCCCACTAGAGGCTGGCAAAGAACCCATTTGGCCGAAGGATGCTGGCCCCAGCGAAGAACCACGAAAGTTTGATTCTACGGGAATGTTCCACTGGTGTCAGTCTCGACCACTGGAAGATGCATTGATGGTATAACGTTTGCTTCACCACTTTTTATTCTTTGACTCAAAGAGTTATATTGTATATTACATAAACTATTTCTATATTTGTTGACATCATAAATTTTGATTCTTACCGCTTCTCCGCGTTGACTTATCAACGGTCCATTTTACTTTGATTCCAAAAATAGTGTTCATTACGTTTTTATTTTGCATTATGCCTAGATAAGAAATGGTCTCTCATACAAAATGATCGAAGTCCTGTTTTACGGTCCGAAACAGATACTTAGTCTCTTTTATCGCATAGTCAATGTCTTGCCTGTTTGATTTGCTTGTAGGATCGAGACAAAGCTTCAGTGACGGTATTGTGTAATCACGTTGTGGTATGCCTGTTTGCGGACGCCAATTCTCCTCTGATTGGCATGAGGAACTTAGTGATGCCCCTTCGGGCGAGTAATTTCCATTATGCAGAGCTCAAGCATGTTGTGATCGTAGGTAACCTCGATTACCTTAGGAGAGAGTGGAAAACTCTACAAAATTTTCCAAAGTTGACCGTTCTGCCTGTAAGTTATTATCATATTTGTGTTGGGTTGAATACAATAAGAATACATTTTCACATTAATGTACTTTTTCGTTATTTTCGCGCCTTACAAATGTATCTTTATATTTCAAATTGATTTTTAGTCAAAAGGCGAAATCAGGTTCTAACGATTGTTTCTGATCTGTTTCGTATATCTCAGCCAGGATAATCTTAAATATATATGTTCTTATTACAGGGATCCCCTCTCAACCGTGCCAATCTACGGGCAGTCAATGTGAACCTCTGTGATATGTGTGTGATCGTCTCAGCTAAGGATAAAAACCTTGATGATCCTCATCTGGTGGACAAAGAGTCTATTCTATGTTCCTTAAATATCAAAGCCATGACATTTGATGATAGCATAGGGCTTTTACAGGCCTCCGCTCAGCCTGGGGCGGGTAAGTTTAAATCTTAAGGAGATGGACCTTCAGTCAAATATATATTTGTAAGTGTTCCCATGCTCTATAGTTAACATTTTACGTTAGCTCTAAATGGATAGTTCAAAGGGATTGGAATTCTCGTGGATTTTTCTTTAGTTTTAACAGGAAAGCATTATTAATAACAGACATTTTTAGATTCACTGTAGTAAATATTTGCTGTGTGTTTTCTTTTTTTTATATTAATTTAACTTTATTGACCGCGAATAAAAAGAAATCCTTCATGAATATTACTTATACACAGCATTGCCTATTCCCCACAAGCTCTCTTGTGGCGTGACTTTCTCTTGATTGGGTTTCGGTACTAGGATTTTTTTCTTTGAACTACTCGGCATATTTCACAATTAGTTGCATATTCTCAAATTTAAAAAAATCCTTTCCTAAAATATCAAGTCGCTATTGAATTGATATTATATCGAAGAGAAAATCCTTTGATACATTTCTTTGTTTTTGACGTGTTAATGACCTTTATATTTCTAAAAAGTAAAATCAATATAATATTCCATAGTATTTTTAAGAATTATCAAGAAGTAAAAAAAAATCGTGTTTGCCCCTTAACAACATTTTTTAAGACAATTGTCTGTGTGTTTTATGATCAGGCTTCCTCCCTCCTGGTTTCTCACCGATGGGCAGTCCAGCAAAGATGCCTCGACGAGGATCAGTGTGTGGTTCAAACGTACCCCTCATCACGGAACTCGGTCAGTATTGGTTTCTGGGTGTATTGCAGATAGTAGAACACATCTGGTCACGTTATTCTGACAAATCAGCCTTGCATTTCATGTATCACTTGACAAGTACTTCTGCATACTGAATTCATATTTTGAACATGTTTTGGAGGCATTGTCAGAAACTGTATTATGCATTTGTAGAAATACGTTTTCGACATGAAAAGTTTACCTTAAAAACAGCATTTCAACAAACAAAATGTTATCTCTATGAATGTTGTAAATTATATCTTATTAGCGAACGACTCAAACGTGCAGTTCCTTGATCAGGACGACGAGGATGACCCGGATACTGAGCTGTACATGACTCAGCCTTTCGCCTGTGGCACGGCGTTTGCTGTTAGTGTACTTGACTCCCTCATGAGTACGGTAAGATACCTGTAGATAAATTGCTTTCATATCATTCTTATAAGATATGTTTTTCCGTTTTCATTATATTCCTTCATATTGCAGATTGCAATGGCAGTGTATCCGCATCGATAATTCGTGATATTTCTGTTTAAGAAAGGAAGAAATTTCACTTGGTTGTTCAGGGAATACTCTTTCGTAAACTAAAAAATCCAACAGCTAAATGACTTCTACTATATAAACAGCCATTGTCTGATTCATTAGATAATATTGATATTTAACGTTTTCCATATTATTTGGCTCACTTTTCTTTGTCTTAAGATTATATTCGATATATTCAAAACATTATTTAATCAACAATATGATTTCTGTATTACAATTTTCAGAAGCTTTTATATCTAGTATTATCATATTTTTATTGACATAACTGTATGAATATCAAATGTCAACAGTTATCGTTTGCATGTTAGATAGTTATTTACACAAGTAATGTAGGGATGATTGTACTGACCTGTATTTTACGGGATAAGGTTAAAATGATAAATTTGAAATAAGGATGTTAATGTTCTTGCAGAGTTACTTCAATGATAATGCCTTGACTCTGATCCGGACACTCATCACCGGCGGAGCCACGCCGGAACTGGAGCAGATTCTAGCAGAAGGAGCGGGGATGAGGGGAGGCTACTGTACACCTAATGTTCTGTCTAATCGGGACAGATGTCGGGTCGCCCAGGTATCTCTGTTCGACGGACCTTTGGCTGCATACGGCGTAAGTGTTTTCAAAATTGGAAGGAAACGTTTAATATTCGGTTGCGTTATACAGTACAATTAAGCATTAAGCATAATAAAAAGCGAGGGTAACCAGATATTGATGTTTAAAGTTTTGTTTTGAGGTAATGAAAGTTTTATTAAATCCGGAATAAAAATCAGACGTTTTATGAAAAATTAAATGTTTAAAATTTAAACAAATGACAGAATTTACGTTTAGCTTTCTTTCCCAGGATGAAGGTCATTACGGCGAACTTTTTGTGAACGCGTTGCGTCACCATGGCATCCTATGTATAGGTCTGTATAGGTTCCGAGATACCAGTGATAGCCAATCTAGCCCCTCATCAAAGCGCTATGTGATCACCAACCCTGCAGAGGACTTTCCTCTTCTCCCAACCGATCAGGTAATTATACCACGAGTTCTACTTACATAATATGTGTCAGAATATTTTCACATTAATACTCACATTTTTTCACATTACAACTTCATATTGTCCATTGTATTTTAAACAGTTCATCTTTGCGGTTGCTGTGATGTCATGTTTATTTGTTGTTTCTCATTAGCATATTCTTAGTTTTATCATTTATAACTTCTTCATCGTATGGTGCAGTTTCCTTTCACCATGACCTGTTAAATATCTGGCCATTAAGACTATCTTCAATTAACATGTTAACATTGATAATCAAGTGATTCAACATTATCTATATAAAAACAATGTCTTTGTGAAATTTAGAAGTAAAATATGATTTCTATATTTAACCAGTCAAACGATGTAGTACATTTTGTTAATGAGAATTGTATATGTATATTTAACTCCAATATCAATAGGTTACATTTATCACATCGATTACTCTTAGTATTTATGTGTCAAGGTGTAAGTAATCCCCATACGCTTCATGTCCTTTAGATCACTCATGTTTTTCATCAACTTTCTGTCTCTAATTCTCTATATTATAAGTAGCTTTCACCTGTTATGTCAAATATTTTCTGACAGAATTCACATTTTTGTAATTACCAGGGCCCAAATTGGCACATAAAAGTGAAATAATTTGATAATTAATATTGATAATTTTTTTTAACTTTGAAAATTAATGTATTTGTTACATATTTGGCAAGTGTACCTCCTTTTGTTCAATATCCATTTCACCAAATTCATATTTTTATAATATTCATAATATCGGTGTTGCAATACATCCTTATTTCGTTTTGTCTGATACCTTTTAATTATAAAGAAAATATTTGAATGTTGATAATGTACATTTGTACATTTTGTTTCAAAGTTGAGGTGAATTCTGAATCAGACAATATCAAAGAAATAAATAGGTAAAACAAGATACTGGATAAAAGTGATGTTGATGCTGAAAACGAAAGCAATATCTGTGTAACAGGATTTGAAATAAAACGTGTTTTTTTGTTTTTAAATTATGTTCGCTGTTTATATCAGAAAGTATATTTTGATAATTTATATATGTTCAAGGTACTTCTTTTTTTTTCTTTTTTTTTTCTTTTGAAATTTTGAATTGTGATTCTTATCTCATTTTGGTTAGGGAACAGCATCTTCAAATCTTCAATTTCAAATGCCAAATCCAAACATGATACCTTATCTTTTCCGCTTATATATATCATTCTTGCATATCTCAAAATTTTGAATACTTCCGTAAAAGTGACCTCTCAAAAAATGCAAAAAAAATATTTTAGATACAGTTATTAAAAATCTGCAGGAGAATTAACCAATAATGTATTTGTTATATCTTAATTGCATGTAGAATTAATAAAACATTATAGATCAGTCATACATTTCTTCTTATTTTTAACAAAACTTGTTTAAAGAGATATCAATATTCTATAGATTTTTTATTTAAAATAGTTTATTTGAGGAAATGACTAAACTAAATGGAACTGAAAGCATGAACTAAAATCACAGAACTCCATGAAGTAGTGCATGCAAACAAAAGTGCATGGATTTTCCCCTGTTCGATTGAGCAAACATAACCATTGCCATGCAGTAAACAATAAACAAATACTAGAACAAACAACGACATCCAGGGTAAATTGTGATTCAAAAATAGTAATATTAAAACGTGTATCAAGTACAGTGATATTAACTTCAGCACCGGCTGTTAGTATCACTGATATATTATGTGTTTTACTTTGATTAAACGTCTAAAATCATATTTTACAAGGAATATTTGGACTTTTTGCTCTAGCATTTAAAATCAAATCGTCTCGTTCAATTTCGTAAGTTTTCGAAAATTTTTATACTCACATCATATTTAAAGATCAATTTTATAAAGGCATGCAGCAAAATGCTGTATCACATACACAAGGTCACACGATAAGAAATCAATATATTGGCGAGATTTCAACTTCTCTAATATAATAGATTTGATCACACTTAAACTACAACTTCTCTAATATAACAGATTTGATCACACTTAAACAACAACTTCTCTAATATAATAGATTTGATCACACTTAAACAACAACTTCTCTAATATAATAGATTTGATCACACTTAAACAACAACTTCTCTAATATAATAGATTTGATCACACTTAAACAACTTCTCTAATATAATAGATTTGATCACACTTAAACAACTTCTCTAATATAATAGATTTGATCACACTTAAACAACTTCTCTAATATAATAGATTTGATCACACTTAAACAACTTCTCTAATATAATAGATTTGATCACACTTAACAACTTCTCTAATATAATAGATTTGATCACACTTAAACAACAACAACTTCTCTAATATAATAGATTTGATTACACTTAAACAACAACAACTTCTAATATAATAGATTTGATCACACTTAAACAACTTCTCTAATATAATAGATTTGATCACACTTAAACAACTTCTCTAATATAATAGATTTGATCACACTTAAACAACTTCTCTAATATAATAGATTTGATCACACTTAAACAACAACACACTTCTCTAATATAATAGATTTGATCACACTTAAACAACAATATAATAGATTTGATCACACTTCTTCTAATATAATAGATTTGATCACACTTAAACAACAACAACTTCTCTAATATAATAGATTTGATCACACTTAAACAACAACTCTAATATAATAGATTTGATCACACTTAAACAACTTCTCTAATATAATAGATTTGATCACACTTAAACTTCTCTAATATAATAGATTTGATCACACTTAAACAACAACAACTTCTCTAATATAATAGATTTGATCACACTTAAACAACTTCTCTAATATAATAGATTTGATCACACTTCTTCTAATATAATAGATTTGATCACACTTAAACAACAACAACTTCTCTAATATAATAGATTTGATCACACTTAAACAACACACTTCTCTAATATAATAGATTTGATCACACTTAAACAACAACAACTTCTCTAATATAATAGATTTGATCACACTTAAACTACAACTTCTCTAATATAATAGATTTGATCACACTTAACCAACAACTTCTCTAATATAATAGATTTGATCACACTTAAACAACAACTTCTCTAATATAATCGATTTGATCCCCCTTAACTTCTGTAATATAATAGATTTGATCACACTTAAACTACAACAACTTCTCTAATATAATAGATTTGATCACACTTAAACAACAACTTCTCTAATATAATAGATTTGATCACACTTAAACAACTTCTCTAATATAATAGATTTGATCACACTTAAACAACAACAACTTCTCTAATATAATAGATTTTCTCTAATATAATAGATTTGATCACACTTAAACTACAACAACTCTATATAATAGATTTGATCACACTTAAACAACTTCTCTAATATAATAGATTTGATCACACTTAAACAACTTCTCTAATATAATAGATTTGATTACACTAAAACAAATATGTTCCTTGAATACTTATGTACTAGTTTTAGCTTTATTCTAATATCAGCGCCTTTTTGCGCTCATTTATTGCGCTATTGCGCAGCGCTAAAATATAATTTTATTGGACATGAAAATGCAATATGTTCAATGATTCAGTGTTGAACAGTGTTTAATACATAACTATTGGTAGGTTACCTCACCTATATAGTATAGGATGCTTCATGATAGTTTACCTGCACGTGGCCACTGTTAAGGGTCATATAGAAATAGTGCGAATCAAAAGTAATGCTGATTTGAATTTTGGTCGTCTTTGCGCGAGTTTCAGATTACACTGAGATACGTCGAACCCGCCCAAAGAGCTGAAATAAAAATCCGCTGTCTTAAGTACACATACAGTATAGAGAATGTCCTTTTCATGTTTTTTACTTCTTAACATTTGACCCACAATGTTCGATAACCATGTTAATCATTTTGATGAATGAATAAAAATGTTTGCTACAAAAGTGTATATCTTGATACAGATACCAGTCACCCTGAATTTATTAATTACACCTTATTAATATTATCGATGTACCTTCACGATACACTTATTCTACTTAAATGTGTGTATATACATTTACTTATATTTATATATATCTTGTGTCACCTTCATGTCAAAGAGGCTATTTGGTGTTTACATTGGTGCAGGACGTGACCTTTGAACTGTGTTGACATACATTAATTGGTTTGATTAAGGAAAGAAATGAATGGTTTAGAACAGATAGCTTAATACGGATAAGTATCTCCATTGTGTTTCAATCTCATAACAAATAATAATTTATGTAGGTCATTGAGGTTAACCTCTGTCACAAAAGTTCGAATGGTCACTCTTTCGTGAATGTACTGTCCAATTACCATGTCTTTCTAACTTTACAATTTGTTATATTTTTCATTCTACTATTTAGGTATTTTGTCTTGTGCCATGCAATCTCTCACAAAGTTCCAATACCTCAACAAGTCGGAATGAGAAAAGTAAGCCGATATGTATGTCCGTATTCTGTAGAATATGTAAAGCTTTGGCAGTTTTCCTATGCTTTCAATATTTGTGGCGATGTCATAGAATGGCTTTTTTGCATGCAAAATTATTTCCAACTTGTGTATGTCCAAAAGCAAATTATTTCTTTATTCATTACAGAATGCAAGGTAGGTTGCAAATACACGGAAAATGTATTAATGGTGTCTGTATAGAATATACAGGTTGGTGGATAAGGTACAAAATTTATAATCCATCATATTGATCCTGAATGAGTTCTAGTGTTTTAGTGTATGGAACCATCCGCAGGGATAGTATAGTATCTATATTTAGTATGCATTTAACTATACATGTGATAAGTATAGATGTACTGTTTTAAGACTAAATATATTCTAATTAGTCATCTATGCATGTTTACGGAATATTTCATTTTCATTTTAAATTCTCATAAAGAGAAAATTGAATAAGTTTACGGAAAACGAAAGGACACTTAGTTCAGTTGGTTTTTAGTATTTTATTTAACAGACTTAAATATCATTAGATTTATTTCCTTTAAGTTTAGACTAACTTACGTAGATTTAATTTTGTTTCATAATTTGTCTCAAAATTAATAGCTGGAAGACCAATTATTTTAATCATAGTTTGTCACCTGTATGTGGAGCGCACAATAGTTACTAAAGTAATGTTTGCAAGTGCTTTCATAATCTTAATCTAAAACTGAATGACTGGGGCATTTTGCATTCAGTTATAGAAGCTTTTTCATCAATATGTTTCATATGTTTGTAAGGTATAAGATGATTATGCATTATCAAGAAAAGTAACATTATTATTGATGTTATTACTGCACCACCCGATTGTTTTTTATCCATGGAAGTAATTACCTCCTCGAGTGTGAAAATTCCTTCGTCATGTCAATTTCATTATTACTATTCAGATTTTCTTCTATTGTGAATTGAGGAGTGAACCAACTTTTATACTCGTAATACTGTAACCATCTGATTTCACTCTTCAAGTGCGAATGTCCTTTTTCGTAATGTTTGTATCATTTTTCCAATCCAGATTTTCTGCTGTTAGATATTGAAGAGTGAACCAGTTATCATATTTATGATACTGTAACCATTTGTCTGGTAACAGTCCGTTATAATGCCACTCTTCACGTGTGAAAACTCCTTCGTGATGTTTGTCTTTATCATTTTTCCAATCCACATTTGTCTGGTAAAAATTCGCTCTGATGCGTGTGACTACTCCTTCGTGATGTTTTCTTTATCATTTTTCCAATCAACATTTGTCTGGTAAAACTTCGCTCTGATGCCAATCTTCGCGTGTGAAATCTCCTTCTTGATGTTTACCTATACCATTTTTTGCGATTCAGAATTCCCTCTACGGTGTATGGGATAGTGAATCAGTTGTAATCATGCGACCATTTATCCGGTGAAACTTTGCTATGATGCCATCCTTTGTCAAACAAACCCCTGTTACACTGTCAGCAGCAAACATTGTATGTATACTAGGCAATATATCGAATAGATTGTACAAAAAATATAAAGAAAATTGGTTTTAAAATGAATCTTGTAAACAATAAAACGGAGGTACCACTTGGACGTTTGAAACAGCTTGTTTAGTGAAAGAGTTTGATAGATAATGAATATTTAGATATTGTACATTATTACCGAGCAGGTAGGTATCACATTCACAACTGTTTAACTTAACATCTAACACATAAATTAGAAAATCCAAGTTGTGTTTACACGACAATCAATGGTCAAATGGTTAGATTTAATGCGACTTGAATCTGTTCCTTACGATACGGTTTAGAATTCAAGTGAGGGTTGGAAATGTATATAAGACATCAAAAACCATCATTTTGTAAAATAAAATTTACGAATTCATTTCGAATACAATTATCTTTTCGCGTACCTTCTGGAAATAAAGTTAGTTTTGTGTACTTCTGTGTGTTCTTTTTATGATACTGGACAGTTTAAAAATACTAATTATGGGACAAAAATAGTTATTTTATATGACCCATAGCAAATGGTGGTAAACGCTTTTCTAATTGTACTGCTGAACAGCGCAATACTACCAACACACGAGAAATTTAGCCGGGGTTGATAAAACCAGGATTGAGTGTATGTATTCTTAAAAGTATTGTTTAAAATGTCGAGTTTTTGATAGGTGATTGATCGCTTTTCAATTTATCTACCATTTCTGTTTGTTGTCTTCTCTTGGTTATCGGATACCTTCTATATCATTATGGTGTCCAAATTCTATCCAAACGCGATTCGTTGCGCAGTATGCCTTGTCGCTTTGTATGGCATTATACATGATTCGATCCGATCACTGTTTAAATGTTTCCATATCGTGGTATCCTCCTGAATCGGAGTTGCTGTTATTGCGTTGCATTGCATGCTTTTTTAAGCAGTAATGGCAAAGATTGGGGCTGTGTCCGACATCAGCTTTAAATATTTCAAACGAAAAAAAAATCATTAAAAATGACATGGGTTTCTGTTCCAGACTTTTCTTTGTGCCAATTTTTATCCTCAGCAGCTGACTCTTCCAGAGGTTACCCCATAAGACTGATATGTCTTTATAGTGTATTTGAAATAACGATTGGCAGCTTCTAAAGGAGTGATACGTTCACCTTAGACACTGATGAATAATGAAAGGATTATATCCCCAGTGTTTTTTATTCATTCCAAAACGCCTATATCTATGAATTGTTTACATTTTTCCATCCTGATCTTGTGATGACTTTGATAATTTACACGTGAACTGTCCTGTCAATGCATGCTGTTGCCACGGTTACATGTACCATTGTGCAACACGTGTCCGTGGCTGGTGTGAAATGTTGCATGCTGGGTAGTTGTGGAAATAGTCACGATGGAATCGAATCATAGCTAGGCCGCACTTGCCACAATTACAGCATAAAGTCTGAAAACTATTATTGTGTTATGTTGTCTCCTCAAACCTTTCAATAAATGGACATTGTCCATTAAGATTAGGTTTCTTTCATAAAGCAATTGAACAATATATTATTTATCTTTGTTGGTATTCCTTTCTAAGAAAAATATATCTATAAATGGTGTCTAGGAATTCATCTGATAGAAGGTGAAATAACCTTATTTCTGACACAATGCTCTATATTTTTCATTGCAGGCATTCTGCCTAATGCCTTTCAATCCATCACTTCAAGGAAAAACACCAAGACCGACGTCAAACAGGAGTCGGGTACATAGTACCGAGGTGGAACAAATCCAGTAAATCATGTACGTCATTCTGTGCTGCAAAAAGTCTTCAACTGCCACCAACTGATAGAGTTGTTGTTTGTGCATTGATTGAAGGATTCATATTTGTGTATAGATCCAAAGGGACGTTTACTTTAAATGTCCTACATTTAACATTTGCACAAAAAATAACTCTGAAATTACATGACAATAAGCAAAGGCGAAAGTCACTTTAAAAGCGTTCCCGTAAAAAACAAAATGAGGTATAGGGAAGGAAAACGAGGTTGAACGAAATCTAAAGTCAGTCAATTAAAGGTGAAATAATGACATGTAAGATTACCAAAGAGAAGATTATTCAACCCATCGAATTGTTCACCTCTTTACTGGCAGACTTTTGTGAAATACTCAGACGCTTCATGCTCCGAGATGATAATGACTAGTTTAATTTTTTATATTCCATTTTTATGACGTGCAATAAGTTGTCTTTAATTGTTAGATGTGGTTTAATGCTCTTATAAGCTTATCTAATTATGTGTATGGTATCCATCTTTAATAAACATTGTTATTAGCGTACCATAAAATATCATTAACTTGGAAGCTTTGGTCTTTCCGAACCATGCTTTAACTGTTTTGTATATTACTTTTTTTTACAAACCATATTATCAAATATGATTATTTGGGTCTACATTAATTTACAACAGCACATGTTTTTATGCTTAATACATTGCTAGTCTAATATGTTCGGAAGAGGCTGATTTAGCTTCTCATTTTTTTCATAGAAAACAATTTTATACAACTATTACCTAACGCCTTACTTTGTTCTTATACTTTTTCCAACTTCTGTGTGTGCTGTGTGATAAAGAGAGAAAACTTGTGTGCTTAACCCAAGTGTCAACACACAAGACCACATACAGTAGCGTCAACGCTCTAATTACACAGTCTCGTCACACATGGACACCATACTCAAATATCAACACTCCATTAGAAAATCACGCTTTTTCTGCCGGAGTTTAGAGCTATTGTTTTCTCTCTTTTTTATGACATCTAAGTCAGTGGTTTATATCATCTTTCTATATTGGAAATTAGTGCTACATAACATTGTTCTATTTTCAATAACGAAAAAAATATAATCAAATTATAAGATTGATTATTGCCTTCATCATATTCAAGTGCAAATTTTTTGTATGGAAATTCCCTTTCAAGCGGTGTTTTACTCAACCCGAAAGAAAGAACTTTAACAGGTTTCTTCAATTCATGTACATTCTTGACAAAATACGATTGTGTTGGGTTGAAAATCACAAAATAACTTAAAGTTATACACCGTTAAAGACCGCGTTCTGAACATGTTACTTTTTCATAGTTGGTGAATTTTCCTGATAATCATATTTTTCGTCAGCAGAGTTACAAATATTTAATTATGAAAGTTCATTGATAAAAAACAGTATTATGGGTTTCGCAAATCGTAGTGTAGAATTTGACCTCATTCAAATGTTGATGTTTTATTAAGCTATTGTCTGTACTATCTTCGACTATTTTTTATAGTGTCAAGGTTGTGCTTGGCATCTTTAGAAATCATTTGTTTATATAGTTTTGTCAGGTGTTCATGCCATCTAATGGGAACGCAGAAGACGAACTTTAATTGTGACATAGTTGCGGATTGGCTATCCGAAAGGTCAAATATCATATGCAAATATTATTTTTTTCTGTGAAAAATGGCACTATTCCATGCCGGGCAAAACAAAAAGCATTTTTTTTTCGATGTATATGATCCTGTTGATGTCATTGGATATTCAAAAAATATTCCTTCTTGTAACTAACTTTGATATAAATTCGCGCTTAAAAATCTGATTTAGTGTGAAAATGGCTTTTTTCAGAAAAACCCTAATGTTATGCCCATGTATTTCTATTTTTCCGATGGAAAAATGTTTGGCTTACAATTATTTTTTCACATCAGTCGGATGATTTATAAATTGTGTACCTTTTTCAAACATTGACGCATTTTGCTTGAATGATGTACCTAATTTCGACTGCGTTGTGCAAATTCCACTGGCTTTATAGTCTCAAACTTTTTGGTGTCATTCATGAAATGTCACTTAATTTATTAGTCAGTTTTAATTCTAAAACATATTGTAATCATTATCTGAGGGACGTAGATCCATATTTTATTAGCATCCATTTAACATTAGCAAATATTTGTCTTTATGTATCACTTAGCAAACAAAAATAACTTCGTTAGTGATTGTTAGATTTAATTCAGTGATAAAAGTTTGTGTTTTGCTTTCATTATTTGCATTTAATACTTGTAGTCTGTTCATAAATATAGAGGTTTGACTAATTACAATGTGTCAGTACAGCATGACTAGCGGCACCAATATGTACCAACATCGAGTGAAGTAATTTTGTGATGGGTCGGCGTCTTTCTCCGTGAAGACATTACTGTAGTTTAAGTTCTGTACAACACGGATTGTAACCTTGAACAATTGTATTGTGATCATATCTGTGATATTTTTGCCCCATGGTTTACATTTATTTTTCTATGATAAAATGTTGTGTTATGATAGATAATACACTTGTACATCATGATATATTGGTATTGTAAAAAATCGTTCACTTCCTGTTTGTACATATATAATACGTATTTATCAATTAATCTCCTTACTTTCCCCTTTCTCAAAAATTAAACTTGTCAGTTGTTAAATTGATTAAAAGATCCTATTTGTTCTCGTACATGTATATATTTTAAACTAAAACTAGTATTGTCTTCTTGTAACTATCAACATTCCCATCCTGCATACAGATCTATAATTTGAAACTCTAATTCAAAATTATGTTACCAAATGTATATATTACAATGTTACTAACACTTTCAGAGTGATCACATGTGCTCTGACGTCATCAAATAGTATACAGGTGTCTATTTTAGATATTCGTCGTGCTTGTTTTCCGTACGCGATATAAATTCCCTTTATTGTTGCAATAATTGAAGATAAATAACTGTTGAAATGGCAGATGGATAATTTCTAAAGTCCTTAAACAAATCTACGTTTTCTTTCCTTTTTTCCGAATGGGTCTGTGTATATCCCTTTTTATCTTTGATAAAATGGAGACACTGTACACAGGGTATTTATATATGTATCACAGCAAATGTAATTTAGCTATTTTTATCTAAAATTTATTCAAGACTAAAGTACAATATTACACTAACAATGGTGACACATACGATTCACAAATAAATGATAGATATTTAACGTGAAAGTGCTAAAACAGCGTTTCTCTGTGTCAATATTCTGTGCTATATTATTAAAAATTCAACTCAACCGACTGTGTCTTGCGTATATCAAGCTAATTGGCCCACGATTATTTTCCGAATCACGATTGACGGTTTTCAAAAACCGTTTAACTCAAACGAAGACTTATTTATATAGACGTGAATCCCAAATATTTCATAGGATGCAGTGGATCTTGTTGGCTTCTGTCTGATCTACAACATATGTTTTATGATTCAATTCCTCGAATTATTTTTCTAAGTCATTTTATTTTAGAAACGAAACTGATTACAAACAATATTACTTTGTAATGTTCAGAGTACGTGTTATCTCGTATGATGACATTAACACTATTTTTATTTAAGTCTTGTTTTTTTGGTAAAGTTTATATTTTTTTTTCATTTTGGATATCATGCCACCGGATCTAGATGTATTGCCGTTTTTTTTTAATGGCGAATAAATCAATTTTCCTATAAAACAGAAATCAGAATACTTACAAATACTTTTTTGAACATTTGCATTTCACGAGCTATGTGTTACCATATGTATTTCTGAATAAAATGATACTTTTATACTTACGTGTGTGTCTGTCCATTAAATGTATTTATTTATTTGTTTATTTTTTTTATAACATTTTATTTCACTTCTTTTTACATTGCATTAATTATAACATCAAACAAGTTACTGAAATTGGATACAGAAACAAGTTTTACAACTTATATAAATCCATTTCCAGAGAAAACACAATCTAAATTAAGGACATATATCGTAATATATGAGGAGAAAAAAAACCCAGAAATACTCGTGGTGTATTGTCTTTAGGAGTAGAAGAGGGAGAAAGGGAGCTGGGTCGTTCAGATATACCATGAAACAATTTTGAAATATATACTAAGTGCATATATATACAGTCCACGCTGAATGAAAGACCTGGATATGCGTGTATTGAGAGAAAACAAAGAACTCTCTTTCACATCTGTCCGATCTGAGGATGAAATTTTGCGTACATTAAAAAACAATAATAGATTTTCGTTTGATAACTCATCATCACCGAGTACAAATAATTTACTTAAGATTGGATGAAGTATTGCTGCAAAGACATGTACACGTGGTGGACGGAAAACACTGCAATGTAATAAATAGAGTTCATTTGTCTCTTCCTTCTCCATACACGAACATAAGGGGCTACCAACGAGATTTCTACAGTATATGTAGAATCTGATAGAGCTTCACTCCGTTCTCAATCTAGAGTGTTGAATTTGACATGTCCTGCTACCGATATAATAGAAAGGTAGTACTTTGTTGGGATGATCAAAGAGGTGACTTTTCAGTCTAAGAATCGATGGATCATTTCTAATTAAGTCTGGCAAGGAATTCCAAAGTTCAGTTATACAGAAGGCAGAAAAATAGCATATAAAATCGTACGACAGGAAATTGGACGAAAATTATTGCCGACACGGATAAGGTGATCGTGGATATGGATGTTACGTTGAGGAAAAATATCTTGTAGGTATCGCGGGGAGAAACCGTGAACTATTATAGGAAAACAGATAATTTTATATTTACGTTTTTGTTCCAATGACAACCAGCCTGTTTTAATATTTAATTTTACTTTGCTGGGTTTTTTTTATCTTGACGCTTAGTCGGAAAATGGGAGGGACCGATACCCTTCATCCGGGTTGTTGAGTCCGGATTTTAGTTCAACAGAAGACACCCGACTACCGTCTGCAAGAGCAAAGTAGAACAGAACAGCTCATTTGAACGAAATAGACGAAATTTTAGGAGAAAAAAAATCTTGGAAACAGTTCTATCAAAGACAGAGGAAGGGCAGGATATAGGAGAAAGTTTGGTTGAAACACCAAATCCAAATCCGCGAATGAACCGACAAGTTCCATCGATCGGTCATGTACAAATATGTATAATAAAAACTGAATCTATAGCCCACATTTGTGTTCATTGGTGCGTTTGAATAAAATTATTTGTGTATTGATGTGAGCAGCTGAAGGCGGTTTTTTTTGTTTACATATATAGAGAATACATGGTCAGTGTCTTAAAATATAAGCTGCATTTCGGTGAGAGTGAAAAAGACAAAAGCGGCGAGCTTCTGGCGAGCTTCTGGTGAGTCACTTGTGTTTCTGTCCCGAGCCAAAATGCAGTTTATATTTTAAGACACTGCCCATGTTTTCTATTTATCCTATAACATTGATTGAAAATCAGACTAATGAAACTTTAACAGTTTTGTTGTTGAATCTGTGTATACCTGACATTGACGTTACGCAGAAATTTGCCTGCTCCAGTTTTAAACTTCATCGGATATAACAGCGACATGTAAAATTGCTTATTTCAACAACTATTTCTATTTTCAAAACGTAATATTTCAGAAAATTCTAAGAGTAATTCTGTCGAATTTCGGCACGTGCTGAAGTACAGCTGTTTTCCGTCACTGTCGAAAACAGCAAAAATATATGTGGCAGGTGATTCTGACAATGGGGTGTCAATTGCTGAATCAATAATTTTGAATTGTGGGTAGGTTTCGGAGGACGGTAGACAGAATATTTATGTCTGTATAAAAAAAACATTCAATGCTAATATTTACATTTATATCGACAGTCATTAAAAAATAAATACCAATAACAGCTTAATAAGTTTGAATATTAATATCAAATTATCATTTGTAGACAGAAATTTTCGATAAAGGAAGACCGGAATCCATAGTGACCTCGAGCTTATGTCTATTCGCCCATGAATTCCATACCAATTAAAGATCTTTTTTGTTTTTGTTTTTTGTTTTTTGTATGCAATGTTTCACGTCCTATCAACAGCTGTAAGGTGTATGCGAGTGAGTTAATCAGCGTGTTGAGTGAATGTGTTGTTGGGAGGCTGCGATAGTGTGGAAGTAAATACCCCAACAAGAAACACACCCAGTTATGTTATACCGACAACGTCAAGCCACTTGTTATTGTACCTGTTTAAAGGCTATGGAATGTCGCGGTCATAGGACAGAACCCAAAGCCTTCTTCACAGGAGTAAAGTACTGCCAAAGGAGACATGGAGAAGAAGAAGGATCTTTACAGCAGAGAAATGATTCAAAGTCCAGTCGTCTCTTAAGATCTTGCATTGAGAACAACATGTACCATTCTTACCTGCATGGCAGATGCAGCGCAACAAATGTATTTTTCATGAGTGTTACAAATTGAACCATAGGAAACGTGTAGATCTACATTCAACTCAGTGTCGAAAACGTTACAGCAGGTAAATTTTAGATAGCAAATTTTGGTTATCAGGAAAATTATGATATAAGATAAATGAAAAACACATTTCATTTCTTTTCAGGTATTACTTGTATACAATTACTAGTTATAGAAATCCAAAGGTCTTATAGCGGTTGTCGCCCTTTAACCACTTCCCACACCACTAGTCGGAAAACACTCGGACTTTTTCTGAATTAATCATATCGATCCAACATTCCAACCGATTTTTTTTCGAAGTCATGCAGGTTGACGATATGGAAGTAAGTCATTGGCACGTGTATTTGGGTTGAAAGTAAATATGTCAGATGCATAAACAGGTATTGGAAAATAGCTATCTGACATGGCAATCCGAACCCACTGAACTGTAGCCACATTACACTGAAATACATATTACATACATAAATGACTCTCTATTCGTTAGTCTAAAATATTGATAACATGGACCTTTCATTTATTGTTATTGTACAAGGTAAATTAAGACGTTATTCCCTGTAAGAGAAAAAAAATCAAATTTGGTGACGAAATATATTATAAAATGTTACAAAACATTACAGTTATTACATGATGCAGCAACACACTGCATAAAAACAACACTTCATATAGTGCACCATCACTTTGCATGGGGACGACACATTACATAGAGTACCAACACACTACATGGGGACGACGCATTACATATTGTACCAACACACTACATGGGGACGACACATTACATATTGTACCAACACACTACATGGGGACGACACATCACATAGAGGACGAACACACTACATGGGGACGACACATTACATATTGTAACAACACACTACATGGGGACGACACATCACATAGAGTACCAACACACTACATGGGGATGACACATCACATAGAGTATCAACACACTACATGGGGACGACACATTACATATTGTACCAACACACTACATGGGGACGACACATTACATAGAGTATCAACACACTACATGGGGACGACACATTACATATTGTACCAACACACTACATGGGGACGACACATCACATAGAGTACCAACACACTACATGGGGACGACACATCACATAGAGTACCAACACACTACATGGGGACGACACATTACATATTGTACCAACACACTACATGGGGACGACACATCACATAGAGTACCAACACACTACATGGGGATGACACATTACATAGAGTATCAACACACTACATGGGGACGACACATTACATATTGTACCAACACACTACATGGGGACGACACATCACATAGAGTACCAACACACTACATGGGGACGACACATCACATAGAGTACCAACACACTACATGGGGATGACACATTACATAGAGTATCAACACACTACATGGGGACGACACATTACATATTGTACCAACACACTACATGGGGACGACACATTACATAGAGTATCAACACACTACATGGGGACGACACATTACATATTGTACCAACACACTACATGGGGACGCCACATTACATATTGTACCAACACACTACATGGGGACGCCACATTACATATAGTACCAACACACTACATGGGGACGACACATTACATATTGTACCAACACACTACATGGGGACGACACATCACATAGAGTACCAACACACTACATGGGGACGACACATTACATATTGTACCAACACACTACATGGGGACGACACATCACATAGAGTACCAACACACTACATGGGGACGACACATTACATAGAGTATCAACACACTACATGGGGACGACACATTACATATTGTACCAACACACTACATGGGGACGACACATTACATAGAGTATCAACACACTACATGGGGACGACACATTACATATTGTACCAACACACTACATGGGGACGACACATCACATAGAGTACCAACACACTACATGGGGACGACACATTACATATTGTACCAACACACTACATGGGGACGACACATCACATAGAGTACCAACACACTACATGGGGACGACACATTACATATTGTACCAACACACTACATGGGGACGACACATTACATAGAGTACCACATAGAGTACCAACACACTACATGGGGACGACCCATTACATATTGAACCAACACACTACATGGGGACGACACATCACATAGAGTACCAACACACTACATGGGGACGACACATTACATAGAGTAACAACACACTACATGGGGACGACACATCACATAGAGTACCAACACACTACATGGGGACGACACATTACATATTGTACCAACACACTACATGGGGACGCCACATTACATAGAGTACCAACAAACTACATGGGGACGACACATTACATATTGTACCAACACACTACATGGGGACGACACATTACATAGAGTAC